CTCACTTTTTTGTGGGGTATTGGGAATGGGGTCTCACTATATTGCCCAGATTGGTCTTATGTGAGCTCAAGAGATCTTTCTGCCTCAGCCCAATTAGTAGCTGGGACTATGTGCATGAACCACCACACCTCACCATGATGACATGCTGGTATTAGTCTAGATTCGAAGGAAACAGAGATAAATAAGTCATTGCTGTTGCCCCTCAGGGGTCTTATCTTCCTGGTAGAGGAATCACATAGAAATAGAAAATGACAGCCTGGTGAAATAATGTGTGTGTAATACCTGGCATTGTGCCGGGTCACTACAGCATGTGGTAAATGTGACTTCTATAATAGTAATAGTAATAGTCATAGGCATTGCTATGTTCTAATAACTGTCAGCAGAGAGGTGTGCACAAGGTGCTGTGGCAGAAAGGAAGGAGTGACTAACTTTTCCGTGTCTCCAATTGGCTTCACTTGAGCCTATACAACACTCCTGGGGGCCAGGAGGGATGTTGGGATAGGGCTCTGAAAGGCCAGCTTTTTTGAGAGAGGAAGGACCTTAGATATGTGTATCATGAGAGCAACTGGTGTCAGCTTAGAGCAAGGTTATATGATTGCCAATCCCTGACTGTCATCCTCCCGCTCCTGCCTCCCCCATTCCAGGCTACACCTAAAAAAGGCTTGGTTCCTTTTTTTAATTTGTAGAGCTCTACCAGCTGTGAAGAGAATCTTTTTTTCTCACTTTATTTAATTTTTTAATTCCTTTTTTATTGGCAGATATTAATCATACAAAATAATGGATTTCATTGTGACATTTTTATATGCATGCATTACATACCTTGATCATATTCACCCTTTTAGAGGGAAACTTTTTTTTATTAGCACATAACAGTTGTACAGGGGGATACATTACAATATGTGCTCACAATATATCTTAATTAAGTTCACTGCCTCCACTGTTCTCCCTTATCTCCCCTCCCCCACTTCTTTGAAAAATTTCAACAGATTTCATTATTCTATTTGCATACATGAATACAAAATAGATCCATTATATTCACCTTTCTAGAGGGAATCTTAAAGGCTGATTATAAAAGATTTCTAAGTAGATTACATAGGAACTTCGTTTGACTTGAACATCTTATAAGTAGGCCTTAAAATCTCTATTCCTTGGTAATAACATAGTTTGTATCCTCAAATTGGCCTTACAAAGTAGAGAGCTGTGATAGCTTTTTCACGTGGAATTTACTTGGAAAATAGCAAAACCTATTAACTTATTTAATTCTGTCATACAAACTAAGCATATTAGTGATGGAAAGTACGGCAGTATTTCATGTATTCTAGGCTTCACATTACCAAAATGCATTCAATTGTAGAAAACAACTTTAAGAAATCACTTTCCAAGTTTTTCCATGATGTTAGTCATTTGTTTTTCCATCTGCTAGCACATGTTAGAAGAAGAGTGAGAGCAGGTGCCATAAGTTTGAGAAAAACGTGTTGAAAATAAAAAACTGTGTGACATTCTAACAATTCACATAATCTAATTTAAACTACGAAACACTTCAGTCCAGTTGGGTAGGATGCAATTGTATTTTAAAGAGAATAATTTTAGAACCACTGATACAGAATTTAAATTTAAATTTAAATCCATAGTAGTCTATAAAAAAATAAAGGTTTTAGTATTTGGTTTAAATATGAGCTATCATACCAGCTATGTATTTTTTTCAGTCTTCAGCTTAGTTCAGTTCATCAGGTCCTTACTGGCTCTCTGATGAGGGCATCTGTTTATGTTTGTGCTCCTCTGTCCAAAAGGAGCTCATGACCTGAGGAAGAAACACTGTCTAGTATAAGACACATGTATTGCTACTTCTGAGGAGCAGCAAGTTGTGATCAGCGCTGTCAGGGAACTATCAAAGGCTTAGCACCAGACAAGGGAAGTTTGTTCCGATTCCAACTGGGACTGATCTGGGAGAGCTCTCTTGAGGAGCTGGCACCTGAAGGGCCAACAGAGATGAGGTGAGGGAGGGCCACAGTGTGAACAGAGACTTAGAAATGGAACATAGAGGAAGCAGAAAGTGGAGGGAACTTGGAACACCTAGAGAATAGAATGCTGAGCGGACATCACAGGACACACAGTTAGAAAGATAAGAGGAGTCACATTGTGCAATCATGCTTCTACTGAATGAATGAGTGTATACTTGACCTGGCCTTGGAAAGTTTTTGGAGCAAGGATGTAGCATAACCTGATCAGTATAGAAGTAGATCAAAGATGGGGTTAAAAGTGGGGAAGAAATTAGAGACCATTCTTAGGTGATAAATAAAATGCCATCTTTCCAATTTCAGTTCACTTCAAACTCCCACAGGGTAGCTATGTATTTAAATTTTAATAGTTATGCATCCACCAGACTGCTACCCTTCTTGTCTGATACTTTTCACAATAGCCAAGCAAGAGCTGATAAAGCATGAACTTCCTTTGGGGCAGGGGGCAAGAATAACATCTGATTCAGTACCCCAGATCTTCTCCTCACATGGCTCATAACCAAGAAAAAACATACCAGGGTTTGCATTTTAGAAAAGGAACCAGGAAATGCATCTATACTGCAAAAGAAAACAGACTGGCATGAAGCAGGGCTATAAGATAAGACTTCAATCCCTAGGTTTAGACTGAAAATAGTTACCAAGTTTGTAGTAGGCTGTGCAACTTTGGGCATGTTACTGAATCAATCTGTGCCTCAGTTCTTTCATCTGTAAGTGGGAATAATAATAGTTAGTCATCTCAAGGGTTGTTATATGGATTAAATAAATGAACACATGTAAAGTGTTCCAAATAGTGTCTGGTACATAGTAGGATCTCAATAAATGTGAACTGCTATTGGACAATAAAAACATCTGCTCTGTTAGTCAGACTTTCATCACTCTGACATAAACAACTTAAGGGAGGAAAGATTTATTTAAGCTCATGGTTTTATAGGTTTTGGTCCATCATGGCAAGAAGATGTAGCAGAGCAGCTCACATCATGGTGGCCAGGAAGCAGGGAAAGAAGAAGCCTATGCTAGAGGGCTTCTTCCTTCTTTCCCTTTTATTACATCTGGGCCCCCAGACTGTGGGATGGTCCCACCCACATTCAGGGTGGTCTTCCCCTCTTGGTTAATCCTTTCTGGAAATGTCCTCACAGACACACCCAGAGGTGTGCTTTACCAATCTCCTTGTCGTTTCTAAATCCAATCCAGTTGACAATCAAGGTTAATTATTACATCTGCCCATGATGGATTATATTTTGCAAAGATTTTTCACATATCCACTAGGTCATTTGAGCTCCACAGTCAATTTGTGGATAGTTCTTATTGTAGTTACATTGATGCTAACAAAGCACTCCACAACTTAGAGATAGAAAACCACTTCCATTTTATTATGCTCCCAGTTTCTGTGAGCCAGGACTTCTGAAAAGATACAGCAGGAATGTCTTCTCTCTGCTTTACAGTGTCCAAGCCACCACTAGAGATGACTTGAAAGTCTAGGGAGAGAAAGGTGAGGCTGAATCAGCTGAGACTGGTGGGTCCACTTCCAAGGTGGCCTCTCCCGTAACCGTTCTGGTACTTGGTGGATGGCTGAAAGATTGCTAGACTGTCACCCAAGCACCTTTATGTGGCTTCTCATAGTGGCCTCCGGGTAGTCGTCAGACTTCTCACAGTGTTTCTGCGGCAGAAGTTGCATGCCTTTTATGACCTGATCTCAGAAGTACAGAGTGGACTCTTCCCATGCGCTGTTGGTTGAAGCAGTCACACTCTCGGCCAGGCTCAAGGCCGGGGGATTTACACACATCTGTCCCTGGAAGGCCTTTTCGGAGATGGGGACCATGTTATTAAATCAGCATACTGGTATTACTCCCTGATTTTAGATGAGAGATTGCAACTCAGTGGAGATTAAATAATTGGCTCCAGGCTAGTAACTGGTATGTTTTAGGTAGGAAGAGGTTTAGGGAGGAGAATGACTTCTAATTCTTCTTACTCTAAATTGTTCTTTCAGTTAGATTATTCAGCCTCCTTCAGCTAATATATACTTGCTAATATGTGAACGTTCAAAGAAAAAATTGGGGGCTGGAGATATAGCTCACCAGTAGAGTGCTTACCTAGCATGTGCAAGGCCCTGGGTCCATTCCCAGCACCACAGGAGAAGAAAAAACTTGACTTTGGGTACTTTGAGTTATTAGGTAACTTCTCTAAAAAGAAAGATACGCAAAAGTGTAAGATTTGCACAAGCCAGGAAGTTTGGGAGATAGGGAGAGGAATGAGAGAAGATGGTTAACAGAGACAGAGGTGCAGGTGGATAAAAGAAGTCTCTTCTAATGTTCTATAGCACAGTAGGATTCTATCATTGACAACAATTGTGTATTTCAAAACAGCGAGAAGAGAGGAATTTGGCACAAAGAAACAAGTGTTGACGTGATAGATATGCCAGTTACCCTGATCTGATCATCACACATTGTATAAATGTGTCACAAACCAGATAATGGTGTCCTTCTACTACACGTGGATAGATATCATGGGGTAGGCCTGGCAAATGCTTATAATCTTTAATAGGCAATGGCAGTTTATGACAGCAGGCAGCAGCAGGTGGCACTCTCTAGTGTCACAGGTCCTGTCTTGGGGGTTGGGCTGAGGAACTTGGCAGCTGAGACATGAACAACTGGCAAAGATTTCCTCACATTCTATTGGTTTCCTTTTGATTCTAGTAATATGTAAGCATAGCTAATGCTTCTCTGAATAGAACCCCAATTGTACAGAAAATAAGAACAAGAATTAAAAAATGGATTGCATCAAATTGGAAAGCTTCTGCACAACTGTATTTTTAAGTGTAAGGTTTACATTTGTAAGAGCTTGCACACAAATTTTATATTTTAAAGTGGTCCTGGATGAGTTCAGTCCTAATATTGGTCAGACAGCAACTGTGTATCATTTTCACACAAAGAAACATCTTTGAAAATGTCCAAACACTTAACTATGGCTTCATTTTTTCTCTAGGAAAATCTCACCTGGCTATTGTCCAGCGGGTGAATAATGAGGGAGAGGGGGACCCCTTCTATGAGGTGATGGGCATTGTCACACTGGAGGACGTCATAGAAGAGATCATCAAGTCAGAGATCCTGGATGAAACTGACCTCTACAGTAAGTCGTGGCCTTGGCTGTTCTCCATGGTCATCTTACTTTCCTCCGAGATTCTCAGGGATGCATTAGTTTGATATACAGTGCAAAAGGGTGTCAGGGCAAGCCTGTGCACTGATGTGTGTCATGCCCCTCTGCCCAGTGGTGGTATGGCAACATATCCTAGCTAGAATCACCCTGAGTTACTGGAAGTACGCTAGCCAAGTGTTGTCAAGAGAGAATCTTTGGAAACAGAGCCAAGACTAGGAAAAGGAGACTTCACAGACTTTGGAAGGAAAGGGAACTGAACAAAACACAGTGTGTCCAAGAGGGAGGCCGGAGGCTTCTCTACTCTTGTTTCTGCCCCCCTGTGTTGTCTCTTTATATAGCTGGTTGCAGACCCCAGCGCCCCTCAGAGTCCACTCACAACAAACCATCAGTGACCAAGGGTGACTATCATGACATTGCTGCCTCCACCTAAGCCAAAACCTTAAATGTTCCATCTTGGATTCTGCTCTTTTCTCTTCTACTTTTCAGCAAACTCCCCATTCCCCCTGAACCAAGCCCTTACCTGGCTCCTGTCTTTGCTCCACTCTGTCTGGTCTCCTTCTCCCCACTCACCCTCCAGAACAATATGGACTCCTCTCTGCAGAAGGTGACTGCTTTGGGCCACTGATCCTTATCAAAGCTTTCCTTGTCAATATTTCAAAGGCATGCTTGTCTCTGGGATAGGAATGTTACCTAATTCATGGGAATCCCACAGAGCCAGGAAGTGTTTCTTCCTTAGAATTTCATCTCCAGGAATAGCCATCCCTTTCCCTTCCCTCAGGTATCTTATTTCACACCAATGTCCTTAGTTTACCAAAAGCAACCTTTCAGAAATTGGCTATTGGTAGCAAAAAGCTTTGATGCCATAAAGGAATGAGTGGTGCAAAAGAGTACCTCCCCTTTGGACTAAGAAGAAATCAAATTTAAAAGTTGGGCCAGGCCTTGACAAAAACTAGAGGAGCAGGAGGGTGGGGACATGTAGGAAACATGTCATACAAATCAGAAGGCTGCTCACTAGTGAGAGCAGAAGAAGAAATGTTTGTTACATGTTTGCTGAGTGAGCCCCTATTTACTGGGAGAGGGTCAGGGGTTTTCCACCCTTATAAAGAAGCTTCTGGTATATTCCTTAAAAGCTGTGAAAAGAAAAAAATGAAGAACCTGAATTTTGAGTTTCTTCTTCCATGACCCTGACTTCTTACACAGTCTGCATGCCTGGATCTGGATCTTCCCGACTGTCACACCTGAGCAAAAGAAGTGTTAAAGTAGAGATCAGATGATTGGAAAGGCCCAAAGCTAAAGATGGGCCACAAAAGAGCCACATGGGTGGAAGGAAACACAGAGAGTCTGGAGCAGCAAGTTCCAAATGGAGAGGGAGTGAGCAAGGAAGCAGATTCTGGGGTCCTAGTTGCCCACCCCAGGGGCTCATTCCCTTTCATTTCCTTTGCATATAGTCCACCTGCACTGGAAGTTCCTTGTAGCCCTTATCTGGCTGACTTTGGTGGGAACTCAAATCTCTTTCCTTTTCCCTTTAGTGCTTGTGAGATAGGTTAGCAGTTTCAAAAAGTTTTCACAACTCAGGGAAAGCAAAAGATAAATAACCAAAGAAAACACTACCCCCACTGTGTGTTTATGAAAAAAATTAATTGGAAAATGCAAGTTTCCTCATCTATAACTATATGCCCAAAATATAGGCTATTGGAGGTTCCAGGCCGTACCCAAGTCCCCCACTAAAGAAGCTGCCTTTATAGATTATAGGTCCATTCTTATTTCTTCTCCTGTTTTTAACTCATATTTCCCCTGATTCTGTCCCAGAGGAGGGGCTGGGGTTGAAGTGGGAGAGCTGTGACTGTTAAGTGGGTGGCATGCCTCAGGAGCAAAGTTATTTAAATCAGAGGAAGAGACCAACTGAGCCCAGCTCTGGGGAAAGGAAGGGGACATAAGCAGAAACTCCCTGGGCCCCAACTGACACACCTTTTAAATGCCAAGAATGCCATCCTTCATGTTTGAATGACTTTGTGTGAGGACTTTCAATGTAGCTTCCTGTGGGAGTCTCATACATCTACTTATCCACACGATCTAAGTAGAAGAACTATTATTAATATTGTAGCCCCTTATATAGATGAGAACAAACAAAAACACTGATTCTTATAGAGGTTGCACAACTAGTAGATAGGGAACTGGCGCCATCCCTAGAACCCCGGACTTGGGCACCCCAGCCAGCTTTTCCCCTTTCCTACTGTCTACCACCTAAAAGTAAATAGAATAGGAGGCGATCAGAGCCATCTCCCACCTGCTATCCCTCACCAACTCCTAAAGAGGAATGATTATATCACCTACAGTTGACACCACAGAAATGTGTGTGGTCCCTTGTGACTCTAAAAGAACCTCCAAAGACCAACGGTGATTCTAAGATTGCTACAATCTATCCCCTGTGACCCTGCAGCTGACAATCGGAAAAAGCAGAGGGTCCCACACCGGGAAAGGAAGCGGCATGACTTCTCCCTGTTTAAGCTTTCTGACTCAGAGATCAGAGTGAAGATCTCACCACAGCTTCTGCTGGCCACACACCGTTTCATGGCCACAGGTAAGATCTGCTCCCACCCGAGTCTCTAACCTAGGGCACTTCTAGCAGAATCTAGGATGGCACTAGGCACCACCCATTTTAATACTCTCAAATCCCATTCCAATGTGCAACCTGCACTGAGAACCACTGTTCTAGGAAAAAGACTGCTTTCCATAGGGTGACAGAATGTCACCTACTGCCACAATAAGCCCTAGGCTTATTATCCTCATGGAGAGGTAGTGAGTATGACTCACCTCTCTCATCTGCTCAAGAAAAGAGCTAAAGACACCACTGCTAAATTTTCTCTTCTTCCACTCACTTCCTGGTAGGAGTCTGAGGCCAAACCCCATCCTGTTAGAGTGCCCCCAAAGCATTTGTCCAGGAAGGAAAGAAATTGTCCTTTACAACAAGACCCTAGAGTCCTGTCCCCTCCAAGAGCCACCATATAGGCCTTCGAGTTACAAGATCTTAAAATACAAAGGTGGATTGTGAATCTTGGGATGTTTAGAAAGAAAAAAAAGGTGAGAGAATCTTTCTTGAGAATCTTTTCTTGGGCTCCAGGCCTGCCTAACAGGCGTGAGGTCCTAAGTTTAACCCTCAGTACTGCCCCCTCCCCAAGAAAAAAGAGAGAGAATCTTTTCATGAGGGGAAGGTAAAGTTTGTCTTTGACCTCTCTGACCTTTCCATCCATGCTGGCTATGATACAGTGATCATATCCATCACTAAGTTCAATATTGATGCAACATGTATTTATTGAGTATACAGTGAGTGCTAGCTAGCACTTGTCTACATGCTACAAGGCAGGAAATTTTAAGGTGGAACCTCTTTGAAGATTTTCAACATGTAACCTAGCTCTGAATACAGGTTTTTTTCTTTTCTTTTTCTTTTTTGTTTTTTGAGACAGGGTCTCGCTCTGTAGCCCAGGCTGGTCTCAAACTTATGTTCCTCTTGCCTCATGTGCTGGGATTACAGCCACCATGCATGGCTCAGATTTCTTTTAACAGCTGGTTAATTTCCCAGAGCAAAGCAGCTGCATCTGCTTAATATAATAAGTATTAGTATATGCTATCCATTAATCCATAAATATGATATAATGATGCATGATATTGACAACTTATTTAAATAATTGTCCACCTACATTAACCTGGGATTTCATTTCATGACAGACATATCTCACAAATAAGCCAAATTAAATTCTCTGTATTTCATTCTATTGTAGCATTAAAGTCTACAGGGCTTAGTTATTTATGCCCAACTTTAAAAAAAATCAAAGAGGTAATTAATAACAAAACTGGCATTTCCAATATGTGACCTGTTTCTCCTGAGATGTCAATGCAGGGCACAGATCCCTGAGATGCACACTTGGGCTTAGGATCCCTCACACCCAAGGAATCACAGAAGCCCCACCACCCTTATGCCCAGGAGCCTGAAGGAGCATGTTCTACACTCAGCCTCAGTTGTCCCCACTCTGACTCCTACCACCTGCCACTGCTGGAGTGGGCAGGGCACAGGAGGTGTTCACCCTCCCACCTCCCTCTGTCCCCTAGAAGTGGAGCCCTTTAAGTCTCTGTACCTCTCGGAGAAGATCCTGCTCCGGCTCCTGAAACATCCAAATGTGATCCAGGAGCTGAAGTTTGATGAGAGGAACAAGAAGGCCCCCGAACATTACCTGTACCAGCGCAACCGGCCTGTGGACTACTTTGTGCTGCTTTTACAGGTGAGTGACAAAAATCAGTGGACTCCTAAGGGCAAGAAGAGAGCACCTGCCCGATGAAGAAGAATGGCTATGCTTCCTTCAGTGCCCAGTGCCAAGACAGCTAGCTGCCTAGGGTCAAGGTCAGTTGGGATGGTCATTTCTGCACAACCCACAGGAGGGGCCTAGGAATGGAAAACTGGTATCCTAGGAGGCATGGGATCTTTGATGGTCTTTAGTCTGACCACTCAGTTGTGGTGGGGTGAGGGGAATGGACTACCTCAGGTAGAGGGGCTCTTTTCTGAACTTCTAGAACTACTGCCCCTTCTCTTCTGCTGAGCTGAAGTCTCACCATCTCTGACTTCCTCACTGGTCCTTGCTGTACTCTCTGGAGGCTGGTGGAACATTCATTCTCTGTGCCGTCCTTCAGACTTTATTGTCCCTTAAGTCTCCCTGCCCCCTTCCAAGGACCAGAAAGCAGCACCTTCCCAATACTCACATAAAGATGATCACATACCTGACTTGGGTGTGTCATTAGGCCTGTCTTAAGTAAGTGTCAGCCTGGTTCCAAAGGAGCAGTGCTGGTGCCCTGTCCTGGCCCTCTGTGAGCTCCATCACTGATTCCATATCTCTTCCCAACAGAATCTTACAGACCGTAAACACAGTGGTGGTTTTAAGATTAACTTAGAAATGATCTCTCTGTTATAGTCCACCTCTTCTCTCTGACACTACATACATCTTCCAGACAGCCTCAATAAAATATCTGTCTTCTCTCTTTACTGTTAGAAGTTGTAATGAGCACATGTAATCCTTCATTTTAAGCTTAATAAAAACTTAGTTTACAAATAAAACTTGAAGGGGGAAAATGTGGTAGAAAAGCATAGGTTCAGAAACTGTAAAGATCTGCTTTAATTACAGTGTTGCCATTTCCCAACTAACAGTGACCGAGATATTTTATGCTCTGAGCCTCAGAACTGATGCATCTGTAAACTAGGTATAAAATGGTATGAATCCCATAGGATCATGGGACTGACTGAATGAGAATCCATGCAGCGCACTTGACACAGTACCAAATTCATAGACACACACTGTACACTCCCTCTACACAATGATGAATTCAACAACTCCACAAGGTTAGACTACCTCAATTAGACTTAGAAATGTTTTAATCTCAGACTAAGCCAGTGAGGGCAGTTTAAGGAGCCATGGCTGGTGCTTAGACCTGTGTACTGGAAAGGCTATTGCTGTGTTCAAGGAGAGCTTAGTTATTCATGACTGAGTGCTGGGAGAAGGAAGCAATGGATTTATTGTAGGGCTGAGGGTGTAGCTCAAATGGTAGAGCATGTGCTTAGTATGTGTAAGTCCTAGGTTCAATTCCCATTACCAACAAAAAGAAGAAGAAGAAGAAGAAAAGAAAGCCTCTATTTCTTAGCTGGGAGTGGCATTCATTAAATGACATTAAATCCTAGCACCTGAGAGGCTGAAGCAGGAGGATTGTGAATTGGAGGCCACCCTGCACTACATAGCAAGACCCTGTCTCAAAACTACAACAATCAAAAAGATACCAAACTTGGAGATGCTATTTCTGAAATGTAAATCTGTCCAGAATCAACACTGCTATGTACTAAGAACATGAGTCCACTTGTGACGAAAGCACAAGGGGTCCTGGTCAATAATAGGCCCGGAAGTGCTCAGCACACTCAGGAGGGCTCAGCAGGAAGGTAAGGATAGGGACAGAAGAAAAAAAGTCAGGGGAGTAAAGATCAACTCAAGGTGACGTCTCCAAAGTGATTGTCTATTTAGAAAGGTTAGGGAATGCTGCCAGGAGTAGGAGGTCACAGAATGGGCCAAATGGGGAAAGGGCAACTAGGCGTCCCGAGAAGCCATTTGATTCCCAGTCTACTTACCAGCTGATTGGAATCTCAAGGAATTTACAGATATACCCTCCTTCTCTCCACAGGGTAAAGTGGAGGTGGAGGTGGGTAAGGAAGGCCTTCGCTTCGAGAATGGAGCCTTTACCTACTATGGTGTCCCAGCCATCATGACCACTGCTTGTTCAGGTACTCCAGTTCCCAAGTCATAGCTTATCAGGAAGCAATGGGATCTCACACAAAAAGCATTTGAGCTCAAGTCTTGACTCCTCTTTTGACTTCTCTTATGGACCCTAGACAGGCCACTTAACTTCCATGAATTTAGTTTCCTCCTCTATAAAATGGATCTAAGAATCACTTTTCATTCAGAGTTTGTGCTTTAAAAAAATAAATGAGGAAAACATTGTGTTAGATAAAGCAATCACATTATCAAGTGTTGGGGGTGGAGAATGTATTTTTCAGTATGAAAGGACAAGTTTATTTTGCTTTTTTACACTTGGGTTCTCCCCTTCCATCTGGTCAACTGGTTTTAAAGGGATAATGGATTCCGGGGCGGCGGTTGGGGGGTGGAGTGGAAGTGGAGAGTTCCATAAGAAGATGTGTTTTCTGAATCGTGTCTGAAACCCACTGCATCCTTCTGCCCTTAGATAATGACGTGCGGAAGGTTGGAAGTCTGGCTGGATCCTCTGTCTTTCGTATGTATCTCTCAAACCCCTTCCTCGTCCTCCCCATCGTGGTCCTGCCTCAGCCCTCTCTGGGAATCTGGACCAAGCGCTTTGAACCTGGGCTGGGCTAACACAAATGCTGGTAGCCTCTTTGTAATGCGCTGCCAGGAACAGTGCCTCCTGCCAGGTACAGAGGCTTAGGTTCTGTGTGTCTAGAATGTATTTGTGGCTTCTCTGTTCACTTGCAATTGATTGGTAGGTGTGTGAGTGGAGGTTCCATTAATTGCCACCTGCCAGGGAAAGTAAGCAAGTGACTTGTGTGCTCTGTTGGCAGTTCAACCTTTCCTTCTCTGCAATGATAATCCACTCCTGGCCTTTACCTGAAAACTCTCATGTGCCTTTATTGTGTCTGTGGCGTTTGTCCTCAGGAAAAAGTGACTATGAGGTTCAGCGATGTAAATCTCAAGCTGGTGCAATATATTGCTTTTCTGCTGCTCATTCCTCGCTCACCACCTCACAGCTGGTGACAAGGTGGCTGCCAGCTGGCCATGCATGCTGCTGGTGGGGGCTGGCATGGGGCTAATGGCTGGTTTACTCTGCCCCTTCTGTGCTGTACCTTCTTGCTGTTTTCTGTGTGGTTAGTGCACTTGTGTTTGGAGGGCATGGTGTGGATTATGATCTATATTTGATTCAGAAAGAATTCTTTCTCTAGGTTTCCTTTTGATTCACTTGTCTAAATTTTGCATTGCCTTCAGTTGTTAGTGTTTTCAGTAGCCACTTTAATGACAAATGGGGTGTTTCCTTTCACTAAAAAAATACATATATATTTCACATAGGGCTTTATTTTGAGACTTATCCGAGGGTCCCAGAGCTTGACATTACAGTCCTGGAACATGGCAAGGTAGATACCATTTGAGAACAAAAAAAGGTTAAAAAATGATTTGCATCAAACCACTCAGCAAGCTGGTGACTTGTCCGGATGCACCCCAGTGTCCTGGCATTCATCGTTACACAGCACAATGAATACAGATTTTAGATCTGGAATGCTTTTGCTATCTGGAAACAGTAGAGTAGCTTACCATGTAATTTCATTTCCTAGTTCAGCAGGTGCTGAAGTGAAGGCTAATTACTGCCACACCTACAGGTGCATAGAACTTGAGTTGAAGGAGATCTATGAAATAAAGAACCATGGTAGATTGTGAGACTTGTGTAATCCAACAACTCTTAGCAAGGTTGGTAAAGGAAGCATCAGTGCTGTTTGAGAATGCTGGACAAGTGAGGAGTGGGCTTCAGGACTGGGTGAGCCTTGTTCTCAAAAGGAGATTTCCACCATCCATCACATTAGGGACTGCTTCTGGGGCTCTTACTGTGTTACCTAGAAATGCAGGCCCTGTTTCATCTCTAGACACAAGAGGTAGGAACTCTGAGAAAGAAACAGCTTTATAAGGCATCCAGGCCCACCCAATTTAGATATCCTCCTTTCTTTAAAAAAAAAAATTAAGTAGGAGGAAGGTGTTATCTTCTTTCCTTCCTTCCTGCTTCTAGTTCTATCAAGATCCTTCAGTTTTACCAATGAGACAGGAGTCAATTTTTAACACTGATCTCTCTTTTAAAACTGGTTAACTAAAGGGAAGCATTAAACTGTCTTTTCCTCCCCTTACTTCTAAGCCTTTATAAATGTTCAGGAAGAAAGAGAAATATTAGCCAATAGGAGCGAAGAGATCTCTTCCACCTTCCCCCAAGTCCTCTCTATTTAATGGAGTGGAATAATTACAAAGACTTCGAACACCCCAGGGTTGGCCCCAGGTGTGTGCTCGCTCAAAGTCTCACCACCCAGCAGCATCTTTCACTGCCCAGGCACCTCAGCTTGAAGCCAAGGGAGAGCTTAAGCCTGAACCACGGGGCAGAGCTCACAGACGCTGCCTGCTTCATTGTGCCTGTACATTAGCTTAATTTGGCTTCTTGGAAGGGATCAGATAAGACAGATGGAGACAGGTTTCCCTGAGAAACACCACCGGATCAGGGTTAAGATGGGAAAAGGATTGGAGTTGTGCCCACCCAGGCCCAAGTGATAGTACCATTTCCATCTCTGTGGGAGGGAAAGGGGAAAAAAGGAGAGATGCCTCAGAGCGTTCATATTTCCTAAGAAGCGACTGTGATTTAATTCATCAAAGTTGATTCACATTAGAACTTTCTCAATAGCACCCTGCCTTGGTCCCCATCCTGTAGCACTGTGACTACAGAAGGTGTACCTAAGAATCCCAAGCAGAGTCCAGCTTCCTCAAAGTATAGCCCTTGGAGGAACATGCACTTGGTTTCAGGTCTCTCAGTGTCTGCACAGGTGCCCTCCTGCACTTGAATAGGCCTCATGAGGCAGCTGGGGGGAACCTTGAGGAAATGCAGTGCTGGGTTCCCAGCAGATTTGTTAGTTCAAGGTGGGCATATCAGAGAGAATGCTGCTTCAGGATTCTCACTGGGGTACTGCCTGTGCTAGTCATTGACATCTCCAATTCCCTCTGAGATTATTGAAAACCTTCAGCAAAGTCCACTTTATTTTCTTGTCTTTGTAGAGAGTGACTTTATAATAAGCAGATGTGATTCCCATGTTTTCAGAGGCAAGGTTCCTTTTTATAGAAAAATGTAATTGTTGTGAAGATTCAGGAACAGACTGTCTTACCCACTTTGCTCTCTGTGTCTCTCCCTTTGTGTTTTTCTTCCCCTTCACTACTCATATATCTTTGGCCTTTGATTCTTTAGTGCCCGTCTCTGTGTCTCGTACCTTCGCCTTCAGCAGAGGGGACTCTCTGGCAGGCTCCCCAGGTAAACATGCATGCCTGCCTCCAGTCTCCATAGGTCTAATGGGGTTTGCAAGAAGCCTTTGGTCTCTGTCACTGTCCTGCTTGAGAACTAGTATCTCCCAACTGGCACTCCCATGACCAAAGCAAAGTGCATTGCACAAATAACACTTATTTGCACACACTATCCAGGCATTGCAGGCTAGTTCAACAGCATCTTTTCTGAATTTCAATGTGTATATATGGAAAAACGGTGGGAACAGGGATAGTGTGAGTTTTTCCTCATCATTTAACTGCAGAGTGAAGGGATAAGGAGTACAGTAGAAAAAAAAATAGGAAGAAATAACAGAACACTACTTTTCCTTCTATGTGGTCTCTGCCTTTAGCTAACCACTCCATCCTCCCCTTCCTAGTAATGTACTATGTGATGGTCACAGATCCTCCAGCTCTGCACATACAAAAGATACTATATATAAACATTTCAAAGCAACTTTTCATTAGGCTTAACAACTCATGTTAATTAAATAAAATTTTCTGGTTTTCTTTTTAATCAAGTAAAGCCTTATAGAGCTACACAGTGACTCAACAACTGAGTAGAATACAATAAGCCTTAATAATTAAATCGTTGTTCATATTGTATTCATCTCTAGAGATTGATCTCATAGGCCCATAAAATAAGGAATGACCAAAGCAGGAATTTATTTGTTAACTTGCCCTGCAGTTAGAACATGGTTCAATATTCTATAACCTCCACATCTGTGTCCCTTATCCCAAGGAGCCCCACCCTATCCTCAGTCATCAAGAAACCAGTTATGTGTTGCTGTCTGGATGGTAGACCCTCATCATTGGCAAGACTTCATCTTGAGACCTGAAACACCCATATCTGCAACTCAGAAGTATTTATGTTGACCTCTCTTTTCTCCCAAATCACATTTTTCCATCAAAAACCATCTGCTTCCCATGTTGATTTATTCAAGACAAGTTAACCACCTTCTCAAATTTCACCAGTTTTCTCTCTCACTTGATGGTAATTTTCCACTAAAAAACAAAGCCTGTCTTGCTTTACGAGAGCTCGTGCCTTCCTGATGACTACAGAATTGTACAGTTGATGTGAGATGCCAGTCTGGCACCCTCACCAAAACTTCTGCATACCAGCAAAATTAGAAATGATCACATCATGGACCTTCAAGAGCCTTCACACACAGTGAATCTTGGAGAATGCCAAGCATGTGCTGTGAATGTTGCACAGAAAGGGAAGATGCACATCTTTTAAAGATTTCAACTAAAACAATCAAAGCAGTGATATACTTTTTTTAAATTAACCTTCAGTTTACCAAACAACCCAGATAATTTTGTTTTCCCAGTTTGAGGAAGTTAATTCTAGTTTGCCAGTCTTTATTATGAAAAACTTCATGGCAATCCAGTGTTAGACAGAGATGAAAGTGACTCATTCCCGCTATGCAGCTTCTCCCCCAAGGAGAGGCTGAGACTTCTGCTTCACCTCTGGCTGATACCATGGGCCCCTGAATGCTCTTTCAATCTTCCTCTCATTCTCCATAATTTTGGGTGTTCAATCCAATAGAAGACTCTCTGATGAAGAAATGAGAGCAAGGCCAACCTTTTCCTGATCTTGATTCAACTCTGGAGGGTGAAGCAGTGATGGGTACAGGAGGAGAAAGTAAGAGATAGGGAGTCCCTTCCTTCTTCTTTGGCTTTTTCCTCCCTTTCTTTTGCTGGTCTCTGTCTGTAGCCAACTACCTAGCCTTCCTAGTGACTAGGAGACATCCAAGGAACTACACTATGAAATTACTTCTGTCTCTCTTTTTCTGTCCTATTTCACCAAACAAAAAGTCTCAGAGGCCTGGGATTTTTGTGGCAAGAAATTCTGGGCACCTTCTGACCCCATGTTTGACTTCTGGCCCAGAAACATAAACTTGCATATATATTTGTTTTAACCCCACATCATACACAGAGAAAAGATAAACCCTAGAAATTAATAAGACCTTTATGCTGAAAAAGAATTCTGTTCTTATTTCATTTGATCCCTACAGCCACTTTGGGAGATTGGCAGGAGCTATTGTTGAAAAACAATAAGGAAACAGTCTCTGAGAAATTAAGCCATTGGGTCAGTGCTGTATTGTAATAAGTAGATAGGAGAATGAGGCCTGGAATCGAACCCTGCTCTGCTCCCATTGCTGGGGACCTTGCTCTACCTCTACATAGATGCCTTTTACTCCCCGTTGATGGCTGTGACTTATTCACATGAACCATGCTAATGAATATGGTGCTCCCACTGGGTTTAGGCCAAAGGTCCTTAGATCAAACATTGCAAAAATGTTGAGGATGTGATTGTAAATCACTATTGATAGGGAATTTCTTTCCATTTGAACCTTAGTGTGAAGTAAGGAGAGCTGAGCAGTGTGTGGATTACCTCCAGAGTATGGTGTAATTAGGCAACTTTGCAGGTGCTTTTATTTAAAAATGAAGCTTCTGTTTGTCCCACTATAGTTATCATCCCCTCTCCCAGATATAGTTCCTTCTTTCTTCTCCTGACAATGGGGATAATGTTGAGTTCTCCATGACAATCCTTCCAAATCCACACAAGCACAGAGACAGGAGAGAGGTCAGAACCAGGAGTTCTTTTCCAGTGCTCAATTGTCCATCCATAATGTGCTCTGAGATTAAAAAAAAAAAAAGATGGAGTTTTCTCCAAGAATATATAGAGTCCCTAAAAATAATCTTTCTACTTCTAATTTCTATGAAATGTGGCAAGTGGAAATATTCCTTTGGGTTGGCTCTTGCCTAGTAAACATTTGGGAACCATTAAAACTCCGTGTAATGTGAGCGAGTTCATCTGGGATCATAACTGGGGCTGACTTGCAGAGTTCACATTGAGCTTTGACAGAGGGCTGGCTCTTGACATTTGGTTGTCTGATGTTGAATACCAAAGAATGATGAATTTGAACAATCCTAGTTTACACTCCTATAAGCCCATGCAATGAAACTCTCCCATTCAATTTGGAGAACATATATGGTCCATGGCACAGTGACCATGACCAAAAGAAGCTATTTGCCCTCATCCTCACGGATGCTCCAAAGATACGGACAGGCAGCCACTGAGCTCTCCTTTTCCTCAAATCCCCATTCTCAAAAGGGAAGTAGGGCACTGTCCTTGGTGCATCTGTTTCCTGGATAGGATTATGATGGCTTCCTGGATAAAGGTATCTCAAGTGAAGCAAGAGTCCCACAGCTGTGTGAAAGTTTTGGGGGCCTCAGCATATTAGTGCAGAGTGAGAAGGGATTCCATTCAGCCTCAATTACAGTGTAAAATCCTCTTCCATTCCCTCCTATTCATCCCCCAAATTTTACCCTAGTGTCTTCTCCACTCAAGCTCCACCAAGTGTCTTCTGCTTTCCCAGCTGCCAGCCAGGACATATTTCTCTTGCAGACTGATCACACGATGGCTGCAGAAATGAGGTCTGTCCTACTTCCTCATAGTAGTTGGGGGTCCAGAGCAGAAAATTCTGCTCCCTACCACCCAGTCACATGAGAGCCAACTTGAAGGTATGATGCAAGAGCAAGAGTGGGCTGAGGACATGTGACTGCTTGGCCTACCTCCTTTTGATGGTCCTGTGGTCGGTTTTATGCACCACTGTTTGATCTGCCCCCTTTCAGACCTCCTTAAACTGTACGTGGGATTTTCCTTGTTCCTTTGCTCCCCCCAAGCTGTGCCTCTGTGCTCTTAGGAAATGCCAAAGGGAATTATACAACTTGAACTAGTTTGCCATGCTGCTGGGACACTCGTCTGTTACTGATTTCTTCTCTTTTTTTATTAAAAACGTTTCCATTTCCATTTCCCTTGCTCAGAAACTTCTGAGTGTATGTGCACAATTACCAAAATGCCAAGTCATCAGCATCCCCCCTATTGAGGAATGTCAGGCTCTGGGACACAAAAACATACATCTTACCCAACACTCGGATGATCTGGGACTTTCTTTGTCAAGAAATGGGGATTCCTTTTTCTTTTAAAAAATGCTTTTATTTTCCTGACCTTTGTAAGACAGTTGTATCTTTTGGTGCTGGAAATCCTTTGGGATTTTATGAATAAGCCTTCAATAGTGTATTTACTTTAAAAAAAAAAAAACGTTTCTCCTCCCAACACACCAGTGATATAACTTGTGTTTGACCTGGGAGTCCATGTCCCATGGCAGCAGCGTGACCTATCTGGGTGCCCATGGACAATGAAAGCTTTGTGAGGAACTAGGGTATAGTTGCTGCCTCTGTTTCCAGTAAGGAGTGGAAGTGATTCAGGCAGAAGCTACTGTGTGGGAAGAGTTTAGTAGATAAGATAGGGCTCTGTTTCCCTGTCATCCTCCCTGAACATATCTTGAATTGTGACATAAGGGATGAGAATGTCAAATTGTAGGTGTGGGGAGTGTGACAGTGCTTTCTCAGGGTAAGTGAAGGCACAGGCTGCACTCACACCCTCTCCTCTGGGTTATATGCAAACTGAGATGAGGCTGAGACCCACAGTTTTCCAGACCCTACTCACATGCCAAATAAGCTGGTCTTCTTCAATACTGCCTACCCTTTTCTATAGCAAACCAGCCCAGAGGAAAGAACACTGACTTTCATTGCTGCCACCATCCTACACAGCCACAAATGGGTCTAGCCAAGTCAGAACTCACCAGTTTGTTTTCAAGGGAGCAGGACCAGAATTGAAATGCATCTTTTTCTTCCCAATGCTTTTTACAATTATCTTAGTGCTTCATTGTATTCTCTCTGACACTGACATTGTGCCTGTCAGTTGTCAGTCACTCCAGAGAAGGATCTGGTCCTTCATCACCCAACAAATAACAGACCCTGGATACCTGACTCCAGGGCTCCCTGTTTTGCATGCTGTCTTTGCGTAAACAGAGAAGCTGAGTCTTGGTGCTCCCCATCCTCTCCCTGGAGCTACTGGGCCAAGGCCTGAGGCTTCTTGGTTCCAGTTGCACAGGATTTAAGTCTATCCAGATGCATTTCTGGTGTCCTCCTGCCACCCCTAGCTCCTTGAAGAAGCCACCTTTCCCAGAATGGCTCACTTACAGAGAAAAGACTTTCTGACTTGAGAATTCTGAAACCTTTTTTCAGATTCAGATTCTAAATTTTAAAAAACCTCTTAAAGGATCCTTAGGTGCAGAGTCATTCCCTAAACATTTTTTATTTATTGAGTACCTACCCTATGTCAGGCACTGGACATTGATGATGACCAGAAAAGACACGCTCTCTTGCAACACAAAATTTAGAATTAAGTACACTAATGAATAAGTGCAAACACATAATTAATAGTTGCAAAATGTTCTTTGAAGGAACAGACAGAGGTAGTGACACAGGGAATCTTCTCAGAGTCGCTAGACAAGCTCTGCAGAGAAGGGGGCATCTCTGGCAAGAGGTGGTGACTGAAAGCGAGTGGCCTTGGTGGGAGTGAGGGAGCAGAGGGATGGTGTCTGCTGAGGGACAGATGCTTGTGTGGTTGAGATGCCCAAGGAGCCCAGAGGCTACAACAAAGTAGGAGACCCAAGAGGCGATCAGACAAGAAAACAGGGTCCAAATCACAGGAGCCTTAGGGGCACAGCATGGAGTCTGGGTTTATTCAGATACAATAGGAAAACTAATTTATATTTGTAAAGTGTGATTCTGAGGTTAAAAAAAAAGGATTACAGTGGTCCCCTTTATTCACACTGTCACTTTTCATGGTTTTAGTTACCCATGATCAACCAAGGTCCATAAATGCTAAATGGAAAATTCCAGAAATAAGCAATTCATAAGTTTTAAGTAACTTTCATTATAGTATATTGTTGTAATTATTCTACTTTATTGGTTAAATAGAGATCAATGTTGATTTATCTCTGTACATTATTGCATCTAATTTGTAAATTAAACTTCATCATAGATATGTATCTATAGGGAAAAATGTATTATGTGTAGGGTTTGGTACTATCTGCTATTTCAGGCATGCACTGTGGGTCCTGAAATGTGTCTCCCACAGATAAGGGGGACTGCTATAGTCTGGGGAAACCAGACTATAACCCAGGTGAAGGTGAAGGTAACTGGACTTAATTGGAAAGAGATGTGACAGAGGGCTCATTGTGTTGGAAGTGGAGAGAGAGGACTTGGTGTGTGCTAAAGGAGTGGCAGGAGTCAAGGGTGACTCCCAGGTTTCTAGGCTAAGTAGCAGCAGTAAATAAATAACATTTACTGGGAAAGGAAAAATGGAAGTAAAATCCTTAATTCTGTAATCATATCAAGGCAATGATTATTACTGTTCTAATGAGAAAATAATTCAACCTGTTGTTGTTCTAATCTTTCTGCTGTATGATTTGCCAAACAGTCACAGCTTGGGCAAATAAACAACAGATCATCAACCTCCATGACTCACTCCAATAATCAAATATCTTGATTAACAGTGGTATTATCTCAAGAGACAGAATTAAATCCCCAGGGTTCTACCAGAAAAAAGCAAGACCCCAAATCTACAAAGATTTTGATTCTTCACTTGAACCTCTGAATTAAATCTGTGTTCTGAGAAGCTGGCAGCTTCCTGTTCCCTGTTTTTGGGAGAAGTGCAGAGTGGCATCAGTAGGGAAAGAGGGATGGGAGAGCTGTGTATTCTCTCACTGGGGTTGAGCTAAGGCTAGGGTCACCTTTGGCACTCTCTCTTCTATTGATCTTGAGGAGGATAACTCACAAAGTTCATTTTGAAATCAAGCGGCATGATCTTAATTGAATTTTCTCAAAAAACGTTACCTAAGAACATAAAAAGAAATAGTCTGGACATTCAAGTCTTAGAAAACCTGGGGATTTTTCCACTCCCTACTTAGTCCTATGCAAGAGCAAGTCCTGCAGGGACCCATACTTTTGAGGGCCCCACTTTGGTCTTTATCAGTTCTGCCTCTCTAGGGAAGGCAAGGAGTTCACAGAGCCAAAACTATGTGTCCACTCAGAGACTGTGTTCTTCCTGCTCAGCCACATTTCAGACACCCAAGATCCTGGAATTCTCCACCCAAACAGTGCTGGGGGAGAGTGGGTCCAGATGCCTTGGGCCAAGGACTGGCTCACCCTACATAGTCCATTTTCTGGCACAAAACTCCAAGGCGCTGAGCCTGGCCTTATAGATTACTTTGAGCAGTCATCAAGGACAAAATGCATTTTAACAGTTTAGTAATGTGACGTACAACTTATAAATATTTATCCGTATGGCTTGTGGCCTCTGTTTGTACTCTTATCCCAGGCCTTGCCCCCGCTGGGTCAGGTCTGAATTATCTCCACAGTGAGGACTGGTTGTTTGACTGTGACAGGTGACTTTGAGGGCAAACCTAAGCCTTGACCTTTTAAGATAAGGTTGGTTGTGGGTTTGTATATAGTATCTCACCCCAGCAGAGTCCTACCTTCTGGGGTAGCAGATCACACACAGCACTGTCCTCATCCATTCGCAGTTCTCTTGCACCTAATCTGAACACGTAACCAAAAAAGGGAGTGGGCCACATCTGCCTGCTGCCCCAGCTCCTCCCTGGGAGAGGTCACGGGGTGCAGCATTTGCTCCACCGACACCAGCAGCTCCTTCCTGGACCCTGGTGGGAAGAGAAGGCTACCTCTCCACCCCAGTGCTCCCTCTGCCTGATAGTTCCGTGGGACCTCAGTAAACAGCACCTTTCTCTCTCTTCCCCCTTCCATTCCCTCTCCTTTCTCCCCACCTGCTGCTCCTTGTCTTTTCTCTCCCTCTTCCTCACCATCTGCAGTGAACCGGTCCCCTTCTCGCTGCAGCGGGTTGAATCGCTCTGAGTCTCCAAACCGAGAGCGCAGCGACTTTGGTGGGAGCAACACCCAGCTGTACAGCAGCAGCAACAACCTCTACACGCCCGACTACTCCGTCCACATCCTCAGTGATGTGCAGTTCGTGAAGGTAACTCCCAGAGGCCAGAGCTGGCTGAGGGCGCAGGCCGGACCCCCATCCCTCCGCATAGCACGCCTCGCTGTGTGCAGAAGTTTTCGAGGTCCAAGCCCCTGCTGCTGACGGCAGGAAGGTTTCCCTAACTTTTCACGTCTAATGAACTGAAGTCAGAATTCCAAGTCCAGGAGTGATTTCATTTCAACATAAATTCAAAATGAGGTAGAAAAGTGCATCTAATGATTTTCTGGAAAAGGTTTTAAACAAAACCATAGTTAATAATAGTCAATGCGTTATGAAGGTACCACCGAGTCCTTACAATTTTTAAATGTGTTCTGTAAGTATCATTATTAATCTAAGAATATTTGGCAGTCTGAGTTGTGTGACCTTAACCAAGATACCCTATCACCATCTGGTGGCAGAATCGCCACATTGCAAGATCTTGTTTTGAAGGATGAGTAAGCCACCTGAAAGTTGAAAGTTCAAACAGAATAGCATAAAATGACCTCACACAAGCCTAAAGGTTAACCTTCTGAACTCCTAAGTCAGAATGTCCAGAAGGATAATATTACCTTTTGTTAGTGTCAAGGTTACAATTCCTTTGTAATTTAAGGGATGCTTGAATTCTTAACTGTCCAAAGAGAAGACCATTTGAACTCGTTATTGTTAAGAAATGGTTGTATCTACAACAATGAAGAGAAAAGAAAAACATGTATTTTGAAAATTAATTTGATTAGCTCAATCAACCAATCAATAGGTATTTTTTGAGCATTACTAATGGCTCTGGGCACCATGAGATATGACAAAGAAATACAAGATATATTTGTTTTATAAATATAAAGATATACATATGGTTTTTTATAACATGTATCCTCTGCCTTATAAGTGGGTTAAGTTCTAGTTAGAGAGGGGAAACAAAAGTTAAATGCAAGATAGTATCTAATTGATTACAAAGTAATATGGCTTTTTTTTTCCTCAAGTGGTGCTGGGGATTAAACCCAGGGCCTTGTCCTCTACCATTGAACTACATCCCCAGCCCTTGGTTTTTGAGACAGGTTCTCTCTGTGAAGCTCTCGATGGCCTTGAACTCAAAACCAGGCAGACCAATTTAGTAGAAAACCAGCTGGACCTTCATTGACCAATGCAGTAGCTACATGTGAACGTCAAAGAGTTAGTACAAAAGGAATATAATATTCTCATTAATAATTTTAAAGTGTTGGCTAGGTATGGGTGCCTCACGCCTATAATCTTAGCTACTCATGAGGCAGAGGCAGAGATTGGGAGGATCATGATTTGAGGCCAGCCCAAGCAAAAAGTTCTCAAGACCCCATCTCAACCAATAAAAGCTGCGTGTTGTGCACATACCTGCCATCCCAGCTTTGCAGGAAGCATAAATAAGAGGATTAAGGTCCAGGACATGGCTGAGGTGTAGCTCAGTGGTAGAGGGTTTGCCTAGCACACACAAGGCACCCCCCAAAAAAATTAAAAAAAAAACAGTTGTCCTATCTACAGGAGGGCGCTCAGTAGAAGCGACACTTGAATCCAGAAATGCAGCTGAGAGAAGCAAACAAAGGTTGCTTCCCCTTTCCAGAGTGGTGCTTTGTTATTTAAAAGAGAATTGTTTTAGGGCTAGCAGAGTGGCTCAGTCTGTAAAAGTGCCTGCCTAGCAAGCGTGAGAGGCCCTGAGTTCAAACCCTAGTGCCACCAAAAAAAAAATATGTTCTAAAGAAAGCAGTGCAAGCAAACAAACTGAGATCTATAAAGAAGATAACCAATGGGTGGTGCCTTTGCTTTTCTACAGCCACCCACCAGTAGTGCTCATCCTCCAGCCCCCACACACCACCATGCTTTATCCCCTGACATTACGTCCTGACTGTAGCTGTCAGAATCTTCTTTTTAGCACCACTGAGGTGGTTTAACATCTGTGCAGGCATCTGTGACAGGGCACTCAGTGACTTAGGAGGGACTCTGTCCTATTTGTTCAGTATTACTACCAGAATTCTTAGTTCCTAGCTCTTTCTTCCCTCCGTAATAATACTTAGAGAGGGTTCAAGTTTCTGGACCCCTGCTTCCAGGTACAGAGAGGGGGATATCACCTTCCCTGAGAACAAGGAGAAAGTGGCACAGCTCACTTCTGGTACAACCTAGGCAGAAACTTTCTAAAACTAAATGATTTAAACAAGATAGAATATTTGCAACAGTTGCCACTCCAGAGTAGCTTGGGGACACAGCCAATCTACCAACTGATAGGAGCCCTAAGCCAACAGATCCTTTCAAAGTCAGTGCAAAATATACCCCTTTCCTTCTGGCTTCTCTTTCCTTCACTTACGGTCTCTTTTCTGTTCCATCTTCCTTTGCCCCATTGTCCCTACTGGAATCTGCTTCCTTCCCCCGCATTCTTTCTTGGTTAAGGATTTACTGTCCCAAGACTTAGTCCTTCCTGCACTACCTGTCACTCTGACACTGGGGGCAGAGGGACACTGCTCTTTCTCACTCCCATCACAGGGTGTGCCATGGACAACTTACACATTTGACCTCTGTCTTTCAAATGTGTGCCCATTATAAAGTCTCATTGTGAGACCTCTGTGTGGACATGTACTAAATAATCGCCCCTAACAACTGTGCAACACATTCATTCACATTACCCTCATTATTTCTGGGCCTCTTTTACAAGCTCAAAGAGGTTAGTGATTTGATGAAGGTCACCTTGCTGAAAAGTGGCAAACCCAGTACTGTTGAACTTGGTTATTGAGCAGACATTGTGTTTCCTAACCTTATTTTTGATGCAAAGGGTCATTCTTCCTTCTTTGACTAAATTAGAAGACAAATCTAAACTAATATTTTAAAGGACCCAACTACAGTAAGATCAGCTGCTCTGTAGGGCTTATCAAGTGTAGTACGGGAAATTTTCCTGTCCCTTAATGTTTGGGTCACATTTCCCCATCTTTTGGGAAAATTTTAAATTCTGACTTCTCACTTCCCCACAGAAGCGGGCTGTAAGAGTCAGGTGTTCTCAACAAAAACATTGAATCTGTTGAAGATTTTGGACAAATGCTATATTGAGACCCATGCGCCTATGCCTTAAAGAAGTACAGAATATATAGTTCTGACCTGAAAAAATATCAAAGCCAGTTGCTAACATGCTGATATTTTATTCTTTAGAAATCCTTTGTAGGGAAAGAACAAAAACCTCAGTAGGACCAGTGTCTGGTTTTAACTAGGTCTCAAGTCAGTGGTTTTTAAGTACAATCTCCACCTAGCACTTGCCAGAACAGCAAATTCTGGCTCTACCCCCGACTGAGAGCGTCAGAAACTTTGAGAGCTGACCCAGCAACCTTTACAAGCCCTTTACGTAAATTCTGATGTGGGGGCTTGAGAAGCACTGATTTGGAACCCTTGTATAAAACCCATGTGCTGTGATTTGGCTATGGTTTGAGTGTGTTCCCCAAATGTTGCCATGTTGGAAACTTGGTCTTCAATATAACGGTATTGAGAGGTGATGGATCTTTAAGAGGTGGGACCTAGCAGAAAGTGATTCGATCATGGGGCTACTGACCTTAGAAGGGATTAATGTTGGTCTCCCAGGATTGGGTTAGTTCTAGTGAGAACAGGTTGTTATAAAGCAAGGCTGCCCCAAGTGCTTGGTCTCTTCTACACTCAGACATTTCCCTTTGCTTCTCTGCTGTGTTGTGATGCAGCCAGCAAGCTGTCACTGGACACTGACAGGCACCATGCTATTTAGGACTTTTTAGCCACTGGAATTTTGAGCCAAGTAAACCTTTTCTTTACCAAGTACCCAGCCTCAGGTATCTTATAGCAACACAAAATGGACTCAGAAGGCTCCTTGAGGTGCACTATAAAGTCTGGAGCCAATAAAAATGAATAGTGGGAACGAATGGCAGATAAGCTAAGAATCCCTCATTGTCCCTGAGCTGCTAGGCTAGAACAGCTTAGGTAAGGGTCTGGGTTCACAGGTCTCAGGCCTATGTGGCCAGAGGTTCCAGTATGGCTGCTTGTGAGCTCGGGAGCTCCAGAGAGGGCTCTTTCCAGCTCTCCTGAGTTCTGTCTACTTCCTTCCAGATTACACGACAGCAATACCAGAATGCGCTCACCGCCTGCCACATGGACAGCTCGCCCCAGTCCCCAGACATGGAGGCCTTCACTGATGGAGACTCCACTAAGGCACCCACAACCCGGGGCACACCCCAAACTCCCAAAGACCCTGCCCTCACACTTCTGAGCAACAGGACCAGCCTGCCATGTGAGTCAGACTGCTATGGAGGGAGGGGGAAAGCATAGCCCTGCCTTCCTCCCCCAGCCCTGGCCAGGGCCACCATCTTGTGCCTCACAGAGCCCCAGATCACCTCCAACCAGAGAGCTGATGTGCTCACTGTCCTCCCCAGGTAGCCGCTCAGATGGGCTGAGAAGCCCAGGAGAGGTGGTATACCTGAGGATGGAGAAGATGGCCTTCACCCAGGAAGAAATGACCGACTTGGAGGAGCACAGGACACAGCTCTCGCTGTCCCCTGCAACTGTTCCCACAACAGCAGGTCAGGGAGGGACCCAGAAGAGCAAGGGGGAGTCGCCACCCTTGGGCACTGGCATGGCCGGGGCAATCTAAGAATGGGGAGCCCTGGGTCCAAGCCCCCATGTCAGGCTTCACACCTTCTCACACAGCCAGGAAGAGAACATCAGGCCCCATTTAATTCATTTTCTCAGGAAAACCGTTTAGGCCAGTGTTAGGAGCTACATTTTTGCCTTGGTTTGACCATGGCTCCCTCTATAGAGGGAGGAACTATGCAATTTTAAGCAAGTTTAACCTAAGACTCAGTTTCCCTAAATTAGCAGATGTATAATGGTAGCTATCTCATAGGGTAGATTTGGAGTATAAATAAGAGAACATTCACAAAGGGCACACCAGCATTTGGTACCATGCTCTATGGCATCAGACTACCTTACAGATTAAGAAACTGATGTCAAGCCATCACCCTACTGGCAGGGCTCTTCCTTTTCATTGGGCCCCAAAGAGCAAGGGGAGTGTGTAGGATTTTTCCCAAGGTCTCACTTCCCTTTGAGACACTGAGTGCTTCTGCCTTGACAGTAGGGTTACTCCAAGCTTCTGGTGTCCCAGCAGTCCTGAGCAACTCTGTGCTTTGCCTCACTGAGGTGTGCTTCCCCAAGCTTTCACCCACCACCCTCAGGTCAATAGTTCCTCTGCTCAAACTTTCAGACCTACTTTAATCCATAGTAAGTCCAGAGCAATGACCTGCAAAGGCTCACAGGTGTTTTGTTTTGTTTTGGAGGGACTAAGGTTTGAACTCATTCTTTGTGCTTGCAAGCCAGGTGCTCTATCACTTGAACCACACCTCCAGTCCATTTTTGCTCTGATTATTTTGGAGATGGGGTTTTGAGACCTATTTGCCCAGGCTGGCCTCAAACTGTAATCCTCCCTCTCTCAGCATCCCAAGTATGTAGGATTGTAGGCATGAGCCACCGGCACCCAGTGGCTTACAGGTTTTTAAGGTCAATTAGATATGTCTGAATGTGTAGCTAATCCAGAAAATCTGGGATACACATAGTTACTATCCTAGGACCTAAATTTAGAACTGATGTTCTTTTTCTCCTTCACACATCAAAGTTAGTAGCTGAAGCATTTAGCTAAATATGTAGCAAAGGAACAAGAATGGAGGAGATAGGGTTGTGTCTGGAGAATGTCTAGTTCTCCCTCCTCATGTGATACATGAGACCAGGGAAAGGGGAAATGAATCACCCTTCTCCAAATACTGCCTTAGACACAGGCCCAGCCTCATGGCTTTCAGTACAGTGCAGTTTTCCAGCACATATTCTGCCTCCCTGGTCATGTTTTGATTGCTTTGTTTGTGAGTCTTGGACCCCTTCCTGACTCTAAGACCCTGTGACTTTCTAAATTCCCACTGGGTCCTAAAGGAGAAGCCAGAGGCATGGGCCTGATTGTTACCGAGCTCTGTGGTTTGTGTAAGTAGAGGAAGGAGACATCCCTACCTATCCTCAAGTGTGCTTTTTGTCTGGCAGAGATACTGGGTAAAGAACATAGTGCCTCTTCCCATCTCTCTTCCCAAAAAGTGTTGAAGGAATTGTTGAAGGAGAGGGAATTATTTCTGATTCTTCATAGACTATTGGATTCCCACTCTTGTTCTCTGTCTGTATCCCTTTTGTGGTACTAAAATGCTTCTTGTTAACTAACAGAGCCTACCCCTTCCTGTCTTGGCTCTTTTCTTAAACTTCTACCCACTAAAAGACATTGCCCAGAATCCCTCTGCCTTGACCCCTGGGCCTGTAGGTTAAAAAGACTTGAGTCTACTCTCCTTTCTCTCAGCATCAGGTAATGAATGCTGTAATATCAACCTGGATCCAGAGACCAGCCCATGTAGTAGTGACTTTGAGGAAACCATGGGCAAGAAGCTGCTGAGGACCTTGAGTGAGTAGCTCCTTACCCAGACCTTAGTCGCTCACCAATTATTAGCAAAATCTCATTAGGATTTGGATCTTCCTGATAGAAGAGAAACCACTGGCTCCTTTTGGGGACCCTAGTGAGGTACAGTTGTGGAAATGCACAACAGGGCTTGGGCCAATACTGCACCCTTTGGTAGTATGGGGGTCTTTCTCATTCAGTGTGGGTCCTTTAGGACAGGAGTCCACAGACATGTCCCTATGTCAGATTCTGACCCTCTCCTCCACCTATTTTTGTTAAGTAAAAACTTACTGGATCATAGACCTGTTTGTTATTTGTGGCCAAAAAGACAGGGTTGAGTAGTTTGACAGAGACCTATGGCCTCCAAAACCTATAATATTAACCATGTAGTCCTGTGATGAAAAACTTTGTGTCAGGAGATGCCACACAAAGGAAAGCAATTGTCCTCCTACGGTAGAAGTCAATGGCAGAGAGATCAAGGTGTTTCCTTCCTGAAAACAGCAGAGCTGGAACACATCCTTGGAGTCAATGGTGTAATATCTGTCACCTTCACCATTGTAGAAGAGAGGTTGTTTCAGAGCTAGAGACCCTGGGAATGGCTCCCAACCCTGGCTATGGTGCCCCAAACACTGGGAGATTGGTCCTCCCTCAGGGTGTCTGGCAGCCAAAGGCCTAGGGCCCTCAGGGGAGGGAAAGCCTGATTCATACACATTACATGGGTTTTACTCAGTCCCTTTCAGTAAATTTCTGTTGTAGGCATTATCATGGGTTTGTAGCTTTTCAGAGGTATCATCTTATGCGGGAAGTGTGTATGAATGCTTCAAGATGTAAGTATGCTGGTATCAGCATCAGTGTACACGCAGATGAGTTCCAGCCCAGCTGTCCAAGACTTTGTCTCCATTTCTGCTTCTGTTTTGAAGAGAGCTCAAACCACAGAGAAGGTCTGTCTTCCCAGACCTATAGATTGATCCTTACATACTGTGTTTTTCAGGTGGTAGAAAAAGGAAGAGGTCAGCAGATGGAGAGAGGACCTCTGGGGAAAACTCCAATTTAACACCCCTGATCACATGACCAGCCGAAGACCGCTGGGTGTGTGAGAGTCCAGAGCTTGGGGGAGGACCTGCCCTTCCATCATCTGCTTCCCCCCAAAGCCTCCCACAGGTGACAGAGCATTCTGCCTTCCTCTCCACCTCTTCACCCTTAGCCGTCAGTTTGGCAAACTTTCCCTCATTGCCTCCAGTTTGAGGTAGAGCCTTGCTGTGGCCATGACAGAAGAAGGTGCCTGTAATGGAATGCTAGAAATGGTCCTGTCCATAGCACAGTCTGGGATTGGAAGAGAGATGACCCCAAGCTGACAATACCACTCTGGGATCCCTGATGTTCATCTTTGTTTTTTGGGGGCCCCTGTTCCATAGGAGAACTCACCATTCTTTCTTCCAAACAAAGTGATACCTTTCTACCATACATCATGCTTAGCTTAGCTCAGAAGGTGCCACTGGCAGACATGGGAGGCTGGCATAGCAGGTGTGAAGGTCAGTTCTGGGAATGGACTGAGAATTCCTTCAGAACTTTAGAGTGTGGGACTCACTCGTGATGGCCTGTGATTGATGTCACAGCTCAGAAACTGTCTATGACTGGTTTCCTGTTAGATAAGGGCTTCAGCAGCCTGGGGAAGTGAGACTCAGCTGGAATGGAAAGAATGTGGGATGGAGCCTTCAAGTCACTATTTCTCCCAGGGACACATCCTTTTGGCTCCCAATCAGCAATCATTAACAGATCAATAAATCTGCTCTGGAAGAGAAGTGGAGAACAGAGAGACTCAGTTGGGAGCCAGAGATGGAACTTCAGGTTTAAGTGCAAATCAAAGCAAGGAAAGAAAAAAAGGAAAAAATTTACATGGAAAAATTCTAAACTGTTAAAGTGAATTTAGCCATGACAAACCAAAGAGTGCCCAAGTCAGGAAGAATGCTCTCTCAAGGAACTTCATTTCAGTGTGCATTACAGGAATGTTAAAGAATCTCTCTTCACCCACCTCCCCTTTCCATCCCCCACCCCCCATCTCTTATTACACACGCAGCAGGTTAGTTAACTGTACTATTCAAAGAACCTTTTAAATTTCTCCTGGCTATTAGGGCAGGTGTGATTCCAAGTATAACCACAAGATGGCAGAACTACTGCACATGCCTACTTCTGAGTATAAAATCATTCTGATCCATCACCACAGCCAGCCAATGAGAAAATTTAGAAGTAAACGAAGTTTGTCTTTGAGTTTCTGATTTATTTCCCATGCCTTGAATGCTTCCAGTAGTCAGTACCTAGTGAACAAGGCTGCCTGCTGAAACTCCAAGCCATTTCTAGTCTTTTCCCTGTGGTATACCATCCCAGCCTCCCTTCCCTTCCTCCAAAGCCATTATCACTCCCTTCCCTCATCTGTTCAATCACACGGCAGGTAGGAGACTGATAATTCCTCTGGGCTATTTGCATCTCAAAGGAAGATGCTTACTCACAGGAATCTTTAACTCAGGGGTTGTTGACCTGGGGTCCATCGCCCCAGGGGATCAGATTTGGACTTCAGAGGGTTTATGAAACCCTTAAAACTGTCAGAATTTAGTTAAGTGTTCTTGTGTGTGTTTCCAGAGAGATAAGCTTTCCTATGATTCTCAAAGTCCTCAGCTCCACAAAGGGTCCCTATTTTAACTAGTGGAACTTTCAGACCAGCGTTTCTGCAATGTAGTGAATTCTGAGCAGTTCAAGTGTCAAGTGGTCAAGTGTCCCTCAGTGAATTGGGACGGCTGGCACCCACAGAGAAGGAGGAGTCCTCAGAAATTCTTGAGTACTGTACAACTTACACCCACATAACTTTGGCCCCCTCTCCCAACAAATCAGAACAGGTGTTGCAGTCAGGAGGGCCACAGCACGTGGAAGGAAAGACTTGGAGCTAGAGATGCCTCTTCCAGCAATGTGTCACTGACTTCCACACACCCCTTGCCTGGCCTGATCGGCCTGAGGCTTAGCTGTGCATGTGTTCTTCTAGCTAATTCCACAGCCACCCCTCCCCACCTGCTCTTGCCTGGTAGGAACAGAGTCAGCGCCTGGGCACCTCAGACCCAGATGAGTAAGCCATGAGTTCTGAGCAAGTCTTGCACAGCCAGCCACTGGTCTAAGGGGACCTGCCTGGCTAAGTCCCTTTCATTACCCCTCAGGCCCAGGCCCAGGTCACTGCTATTATATTCATCCATCCCTCTGCAGAACCTCTAAGGAGCCTGTCACCACTCCTCTCCCTAAGCCCAGCCCCCAAAGATTTTCTTCAGGTTAAAAGAAAGTTTAAAAAATGATTTTAAAATATAGCATTTATGCAGGCTCAATAAATTATAATTTTTAAATAAAATGAAAAATGCCTTTCCTGGAATGTGGCTGTTTTCCTTGTCCCTGGGATTTTAGCGTTCCATACTAGTTTCACTTGAGACACGGGTTGGACATGCCCACATGTGACTACCTCATCTGTGGCCCACCTGCCTGAAGGGCCCACCTCTCAAGGCCAGGTGCATACCGGAAAGCCCTGGTGTTCCACTTTGGGGTGGTAGTAAGGGGAGGTCAGATTTTGTGGGAATGATACCAGCAGTGGGGAAAAAAAAAAAAGGCCTGACAAAAAGCTAAATAAAGTGTGAATGGAGATGAAAATGAGAAGGGCTAGGATTTGGGGATCCCATGTGACAGGCAAGTCACTGTGCTAGGAGCCTTCCAAGTACAAAACCTTGCGGTCCAGATCCAGACAAGTAGTTACACTGGGTCTCTTTTGCAGACCCTTCAGAGAGAAGTTAAGGTGGTTGGAAACCCCAGAAGTTTCCATCCAAAGGCTGGGAAGAACAGGAGAGCCAGGTCTAAAGGTGAGTTGTAAACCAGTGTAGGAGGGCAGGAACAGCCAGCCAGGTGGGAAGGTGTGTTTGGGCACTGAATGTCTTTGTGAGAGAAAAGTTGGAATCTGACACCTACTACTCAGGTCTCAAACCAGCAAACAGGATGAGTGGACTGTGCCGGAACAACTTAAGATTCTTCCCAGGAGTCTCACTGGAGGCTATTAATTACCACTTAATGGTAATAAAACAGTGGCAACTATTTTGCTGTGGGCTTTATGTACCAAGTATTATACTAAGGATCCATTAGCTCATTTATTTCTCAGAACCACCCTGCAAAGGAGGTATTACTGACAGGCTGGACAACTTGCTCAAGGTTACCAGCCAATGGCAGAGCCTGGAAGTTTGAGTGCCCTACTCCTGAAGAGGGAAAGACTGTGACAGTCCTACCTCTGCAATCTACATACAAAGGCGCATGGTAGAGGTCCTGACAAGTCCTGCAGCTTTTCCCCAAACTTCCAGAGTGGGGGACACACCGACAAAATTCAATGTAGACACAATTAAGAAGGCCAAATTCCCAGACTGGAGCTTTTTTTACTGCTAAAACCATTTCAGCGTTTTGGTGCTGAGATTGAGGTTTAAAGCATGGGTTCCTAACAATGTTTTGATGGTTTTAGCACTTCCCCTAGAGAAAAATTTAGTTCTTCCTACCCAGAGCAATTAAACGCTAAGATTTTGTCAAGTAGGACTGCACCTTGGAGGGCCACAGATCATTTTAATATATCAAGACTTTTTTGCCCTGAAGAACCAAGTTTTGCCCCAGTGGAAGTACTGATGTTCCCGTGGAGAATAATGGTTTAAAATAAACTTCTATCATTCTTCTTTAGGAAGAATGATAGATTGTCAGAAGGTAAACTCTTCTATGTTGGCTGCCTTCCCTTACTTAAGCATCTTTAAGTTGGAAGGAGAACAAATGTTGATAAAAGAGGAACTAGGAGGCAGGAAGAGATGAGAGGCTAGCATCTAATCACCTTCATTCCATCCACACGCCCATGCAGTGAGGGCCAGCAGATGGTGAAGGACATGTGCTATACCACTGAAAAATTAGGGGGAGGGGTTCCTATGGGACAGCAAAAACAAGGACTAACGATTGCTACTTTCATCTAGTTGGAAAGTCATCCATTACAAGTGCCAGTGGACCTACTGTCTGTAGTTGCAAAGAAGGGAGGGGAGCACAAACAGAAAGTTCTGGCTCAAGGTTAAAAGAGCTTTTAAGCCAAGGGGCTCTACCAGCAGAACAGTATCCTACGCATTCATCACCACCATCACCCAGGTTGGAAAATGAGTCAGGGCCAATATAGAACTACTACTTCACTGGGGGACAGAGGCTGGACTTAGTGAATTCTAAGACCCAATCATCCTTTAAGACTAGGATTGACTCTAAAAGAGTCCTAGAAAAGGGCGGATCCTGTTAACTTGCAATATTTTTTGAAACTCCCAAGTAGCAACAAATTCTACAAACCTACCATTTGGAGAGTCCCTGGGACTCTCTGGAAACTGATCTACACTTAAGTGTAGATCACTTGTCTCAATAGACTGGAAGGTCCTCCAACTGCACTGGGGAGGACTGGTATTCTAGAATCTCCCTGAATGACGTTGTCCTTGCTATGAGTATGTGAAGTCCAGCATCATAAGAAATATTAGACCTGTGGCCTCTCAATGACAAGCCTACAAAATTTACAGCCTCAGTACAGTGCTTTCACTAAAGAGTTGTATTTCAAAAATACGTTTAGTTTTTTTCTTTGGCCACTACAGAATCCCTCTGAAGCCTTCACTTTAAACTGTGGGTCATGGCCCATTAGTGGATCAAAAAATCAATTCCACAGGTCTTGATCAGCACTTTTATTTTTTAAGTGAAATTGAACACAATAGACTAGAAAAAATCAGAATGCACTATACATCACAAGAGTAAGTACTGTTTCATGAAACTTTTTATTTAAATATGTGTATCTGTATGTTTGTGCATGTGTGTATGACAATATAAATATTTCTTATTGCAGTCACTCTTAAGAACTAAAGCTTCATGCTAGGGACACAACCATGCAAAAAGAGCAGGAGACAAGACACTCTGGGTGGAGATGATGAGTTTAATGCCACAGCCAACACCCATAGTCACACTTGGCTTCTTTAGCCAACTTGGTCTTTGGGACTAGACTTCATGCAGTGTCCAGCAACACGCAAAAGCATGTAAGCAACGTGGGCAGCACTCCCATTTCTAGCAAGGGGGGCGAGGCACCTACATCTTATGATCAAAATATTTGTTTATTCTTAAATAAAAACCTTGATTTGCTCTGGCTTCCAAAAGCCTCTAAAATCCTAGGCTCCCAATTCATTTCAAGGGATGTTCTCTTCATGTGGGGCCAACTTAAACAGAGCCCACCTTGGCAGGGCAGCTTCTAGTCCTTCAGTTGTCTCTCATCCATCACATGTACAATTAGGTTTGTGCAGGCAGGGAACACAGGTGACAGAGAACTGCTTTGGTGGTGTGGTCTGGATGGTGGTTCCTCACTGGATTTTGATGACTGCTTCATGGATGGAGTTAGCCACATAATCTATGTTCTTGGTGGTTAAGCCACACATGTTGATCCGACCATTTGGCAGCAGGTAGATGTGCTTTTCATTGACCAGGTATTCCACTTGTTTGGCTGTTGAAAATCAAAAGAAGACAGAATCAGAGAAGCAGGGATCCCTAACACAGAGAAGCAAGGCAAAAGGAGCTACTTGGTCCAACTGAAAAACAGAAGAATATGCTCACTTGGATTCTGGAAAGAACTCTTAGTAGCTAGCGTTCTAATTCTCAAGAAGTACAATATGACTAATACTGACAAGCATTTTAACCTGGACCACCCCCAAGCAAATCTTACTTGGTTACTAATCGGTTTTCCACATTGGAGAATTTGCCCCAGAGCAAAACCCCACGCTCAGGAGTCCTGCAAAATGAGAGGCCATATTGTGTGTCCATGTACTCAGTGAGAGGACGACTGTGGGTGAGGGTGACTGTAGACACACATTTCATGGGCATTTCAAGACACCCCATCAACTGAAAATAACCACCAGACATCAGAACATTCCACTGATAGGAAACACTGGTTGTAGAGTCCTCCCTTTATCTCTTCTCTAACCTGTTTGCTTTTCCTGAGCACCTAGAGGCAACCTCCTTTTGACATTTCATTTTTGCAGTACAATGACAATATCCCAGCGTAAGGTACCTGATAAATGCTGTGTGAACAAACCAATAGTCCAAAAAACTCCACAGATCTTCATTCACTTCTCAGCCCTTCCCTCATATACAGGAGAGGGGCTCCATGTCAATACCACATATGAAACAGGAAAGGGCTGCTTGTACTTCCTTGATGCCACAATCTCTAGAGTAGTTTTGCCTTATGGCAAATCCATGATAGAATTCTAGCAAATTTTTGCCTAATTAGCACCCTGAAGACCATCTCCGAAGGGAATTTGGAATAATAACAAAATCATAATAATCAAAGGCAAACACTACATGCCAGGCAGTGCTCGAAGCACTTCGACTCTACTATTCTTGGGAATAACCTTACCATACCCATTTTATAGACGGGGCCTGGAAAAGTTAAAAGATCATGCCAAGGTCACACAGCTGGTCAGTAGTGGATGTGTGACTTTAAGCCTAGGTGACTTTTCACCATGTTTCTGCACCGCTTTTCCCTGGAAGCAGCAAACCTGGACTCTGGTCTCAGCACTGCCACGTGTCCTTCCAAACAAACAAAGTAAGCTTCCAGAAGTTACCCTGACCAGGTTTAACTGTGTGAATGACAGTCATCCAGGGAGATAAAGCCAACTTCACAGCTACCAGAGCTACAGGCACACCACTGTTTGTAAAAGCCCAGAGGGACTCACTGTTACAGGGCTCCCATCCTGATTTAGTTTTGTTTTTTTAATAAGAGACTTCTCATTGGGCACCAGTGGCTCAGTCTGTAAGCCTAGCTACTTGGGAGGCTGAGATCAGTAGGATTGTGGCTGGAGGCCAGGCCAGGCAGAAGAGTTTGTACAATCCCTCCTATCTCAACAGAAAAAAAGCTGGGCATGGTGGCATGTGGCTATCATACCCAGCTGCAGTGGAAAGCTTAAAATAGGAGGACTGCAGTTCAGGATGGCCTGGGCAAAAGTGAGACCCTATCTCCAAAATAACCAGAGCAAAAAGAACTGGAGGAATGACTCAAGCGGCAGAGCGCCTGCCTGGCAAGCATGAAGCCCTGAGTTTAAACCTCAGTATCGCCACCCCCCCCCCAAAAAAAAAGACAGAGAGAGAGAAACGCTTCTCTGCTTTTGGGAGGGAGGGAGTGTTACAGTTTGAGACATTAATAAAAGTCATAAACTCTTTCCCTAGAAAAAGGCTAGTACGCACATAAGCTTCACAGAGCTCCTAAAGTGTAGCAGTGGACTCCAGGTTAAAAGCCCCCATCTGATACATAAAGGATGACAAAGGAAGTGCTGTAACATGAGAATTACAGAAACTAGATGGTGGGGACATGGGCTCACTGTACAATTCCTCCAACTTTTCTGTATGCTTTCCTAATAAAATTATGGGGAAAAAACTTTATATAAAAGGTAAATGATGTCGAGTGCTAAGAATATAACTTTAGTGTTATAAGCACAGATGTATTCTTATCACTTTTTAATTCATAATAAAACTAATTCCCTACTCTGGATGGTGGGGTAATAAGGCTTTTTTCTAGAGTGTCATCCCCACCTTGTGAGCTATTAAGAGTATGACTACTAAAGATCAATTTCCATTACACTTAATATTTTTACAACTGTATAATAATTTTTTTTATTCAAGTAAATGAATTCTCCATTCCACAGTCATGAAGACACCTTCAGTTAACTGAGCTAGGCAAGTGCTCTACCACTTGAGTCTCATCTCCAGTCCTCCTTTACTTTCTTGGGTGACCTCATTTTACCCCAAAGAATTTTGAGGTGTCTGCAAAATGACCCTTATCACTTATCACCTCTTTATATTTATTTCCTTTGTTTTTTCTGAGCCCATTTCAAACTAACTCTTTGATGGCCCCAGTTATAACACATCTCAGAGCCCCCAGGATTCCACCTACAACCCAAGCCAGTGCACAACCCTCCGGAGAGCCACTCAGACAGGCAAGTGAGTGGGCAATGCACCATGCTAACAGTGGTGTAGCTAGCAGGTGCTCAGGAATTATTAAACAGATTCTCTATCATCAGAAGGGACCGCTGATCACTGACATGCCCTGCTGACAGCAAACCAAAAGCCTGTAAGGCTGCCCAGTAGATTTTCAATCAGCTTTTCATTCCAACTACCTATTTAAATTCTTATTTATGGAGAGATAACTTTGTAACATATTTTTGAGGACAATACCTAAAGACTAGGAAAGAACTGTTAAGAAATTCAGTCCCTGATAATCATATATAATCTTTACATAGGATTATGGTAAAGCTAGAAGGTACCTGACAATGTGCCTTATGAGAGATCATTCATAAGCCAGGGTTCTAAGCTACAAATCCTGTTACTCCCAGCTGGCTCTGAGCCACTCCCTAGCCCACAAAGATGAAAATATCTTAGTTAAGGATCAGTAGGGCAGACCACAACAATGCTCTTGAGATATAAAGGGCTCAGGAGAGAATGAGCAAACATCACTTGTTCTGGTCCAAAGTAATGGAAACCAATTAAGCAACAGCTGATGTTGGTGAGCTTATGACCAGTGACGGAGGAAAGTGCTATGTCTCTGCACGCGTGCTCAAGGGCATGGGGGCCACTTACGGTTCAACCCAGTGAAGCTGAACATGCCAATCTGTTCAGTGATGTGAGACCAGGTCCCAGGGGTATTGAGGGCTTCTAATCGTGCCCTGAGTTCAGCTCTCATGGTCAGAATCCGGTCGGCCATTGTCTTCACGTTACCTGTCCTGAGGCATAGACAGTCATATAAATACCAGTTCAGACAGGAGACAGAGTTTACGAAAACATGTAGGTTTAAAAACTGTAATTTAACTGCAAGACAAAATAGGATCACAACCTGTCTATTACAGTACATGGACGCCCAGACAGGTGAATGAACAGAGCAGAGAGATAGATTTAGCGGGCAGAAGGCAAGGACTACACTTATTGACAAGGGTCAACTGGTACTCTTAGGTATGCCAGCTGAAATACTACTGACATTTCCACTCAGGTTTCATGAAGTGCTCGTATAGATGGGATAATATATTCTATCAGGCCTTATTAAACAGAGATTATAGATTTAGCTAGTACAGGAAAATTACTCTGTTCTAAATTAAGATAAAATTAATCTGTTCTAAATTAATTTTTTCACATATATCCTCTTATCCACAGTTTTACTTCCTATGGCTTCCATTACCTGGGGTCAACCATGGTCTGAAAATATTAAATGGAAAGTTTCAGAAATAAACAATTCATTAGTTTTAAATAGCTTATTATAGGCTATTAGTATAATTTTCTGTTTTGTTGTTAGTATTGTTTACCTCTTACTATACCTAATTTATAAATCCAATTTTTAATAGGTATTTATGAATAGGAAAAAATAGTATAAGTAGGGTTTGGTGCTATATCTGTGGTTTCAGGAATCCACAAGAGGTCTTGGTACAAATAAAGGGAGGTAAGGGGAGATTACTGTAAATAAATTAGAGACAAGAAGGAAGAACCCAAAAATTGTCATACTGGTGTATATTCTATTCTGTCAGGAATATCTTCCTATGTGTTTTCCAACTTTAGGGATTAGAAGGTTGAGAGGTGGGGGTTACCATTCACTGACTCCTTCCTCCTCTGTTCTAGCTGCTATGCTAAGCACATTATGAGGTAGGCATGAGCCCCATCTCAGAAATATCTGAGATTCAAAGAGATTAAAGCAATTGTGTCCTGCTCCTGCTAAAATGAAAGGAAGAGACCCTAGCTGGATGTAATGGGACAATTACAGTTCTGCATTCCCACCCCTCACCCATCAAGCTTTAAGCTCCTTACCACTCCTTAAAGAGCTCAGGGTTAGAGAGGACGGAGGCCACGATTCGTGCTCCCTGGGCGGGGGGATTGGACCAAGTAATTCGCACAATCTTCTCCATCTGGGAAAGGACCCGCAGGATGCCCTCAGATTCTTTTCCAACCACGGTCAGATTCCCAACTCGCTCATCTAAAGAGAGGGCAAGAATCAGGTTTAGCTGCTAATGGCAGAGTAGGAAAGAGGCAGGGCCACAACTTTGGAGAGCACTCACTATAGAGCCCGAAGTTCTTGGAGAAGGACTGAGCACAGAAGAACTCAAAGCCTTCAGACACAAAATAGCGAATGGCCCAGGCGTCTTTGTCTAGATCTCCAGATGCGAAGCCCTGATAGGCTGAGTCAAAGAAGGGGAACAGAAAGCGGCGCTGCAAGGAAGGAAGGCAAGTCAGTACAAGAAATCCTTCTGGAACCAAACTCAGACTGGCTCTTCCTTCCCCAGTTGATATTTAGAAGGAATTTCTACCACTAAATCTTTCTCCTATTTCTCATCTATGTGCACTCAACCAGCTACCACTTTACATCTGATTCTCTATTCAGCTAAATACCAACCTACAAACATAATAATTTCAGTAAACCTTACTTTTTAACAGAATACTGTCCTAGGGTGTCAAGATGCAGCTTTGTCAGTGGACTTATTTTTGAGGTCAGAAGGGATTGCCCTGTGTTAGTAGATTGTTCTGTGCGAACTACTGGTGTGATATATTAGTTGAATGAGGCACAGCATCCCCAGGTCTACTTTACCAGGTACTCAGATGAACAAGGCTGAGTTCTCTATTCTTGTTGCATTCATCTCCTCAAAGAGCTCCCCCTTCAGAGTCTGTTTCTGCTTCTGGGCATGCACTGAGTGGACAGCACTTCTCTCCCTGAAACTGTCCAAAGCCAGAGACCAGGGGTACTTTTAACTCTGGCTCTGCAGCTCCTTCCCCACATGCAATCATACCTAAGTCCTGTCAATCCTGTCTCTTGGGAGCTCTAGGACTTGTTTGCATGTCACTTTCCCCACTGCCACCTGCTTCATTCAGGTCACCACCAACTCCTACTTGGACACTGGCAACAACCTCCTAACTGCTCTCCCAGCTTGTCCAGTCTTGCCTCCCTGATTCATTCCCTGCTGCATAATCAGAGTGACCTGAAGACAATGCACGTCCACTCCCTGTCATCACAGATTTCAGTGGCTCACTGCTGCCATGAGAATGAAGTCCAATGGTTCGACATAGGGCCCAGCCCTATTTGCTTTCTAGCTGTGTCACTCACATACCCACAACTCCCTCAGAACAAGAATGACCTTCATTTCCTTAAATGGACCATGATCCATGCCTGCCCTCTTCCTCTGCCAGCCTCCACCTGCCAAGGCATTCTGAACTCCTCCCCTTCTTACAAGACATGGAAATCACTCTAGCAGGCAGGCTTCTGCCACCACCAGAACCCACAAACACCCTGTCACACACACACACACACACACACACACACACACACACACACTCCCCAAAGTCCAGGCTATGTAACACTAAGAACCCATTAACACAGCATTTCATCGTATCCTAACCGCCCCAGTACTCCCCACTCTCCTCAAATAGGCTGTGTTCTTTCAGGGTAGGGACCACGTCTGCTTTGTTCACTATGGCACCATACCCAGTGTAAAAAACTATTCCTCTCTGCCTAAGTGGAAAATAAATGCATTTTGAGCTAGAAACTTCAATTTCAGTTAGAAAGTTATCCCACAGACATAAAAAGTTTTAATACAAGATTATTCATAAGATCAAGAAATCTGAAATAAACCTACATGTCCATTAGCTGATTTACCCAGTCTCTAATAAAAAAGAGATATAAAGTATCTATACAAAACATTAAACACCACATATATAAAGAAGTTCAAGCAAAACAAAGTGTGTTAAAAAACACTATAAACAAAATGATCCTTATAAATAAATATGTTTAAAAAACTACACACACAAATACACACACGCATGCCCACACGCAGCCTGACTGTGTGTGACACACCATCTACCAAAATACTAACAATGTCTTTAGGTAACAAGATTTATAGTTAATATTTATTTTCTTCTTTGGATTCTTCTCCATTTTCCAAATTCTTCAGCAAAGGGTTTTGCTTTTGAACACATTGACATACTATTGGTCAGAGATGCTCTGAAGAGGAGTTACCTTCATGACGGAAGCAATCTGTTTCCACTGCTCTGGAGTCGGGTCGGTCCCTGTTGGGTTGTGTGCACAGGCGTGGAGGACAAAGATGGAGAGCTCAGGAGCATTCTGAGGAGAAGAAGCTATGTCAACTGACACAGTGGTGACATTGGGGGACACAGCAGAGTACAGATCAGCAATGAAGGCATAGTGTGTTCTTAGCAGTCTGTCATATCTGCCTTTTGTGCAATCCCTGTCTTACACACCATTTCAGAGTATCTGAAACCACTATCTGGTTTTGGGATGATGTTTCAAACTCTCACTTGTCAGATGATCCAAAGACTCCCTGCTGTTCCTCTTTACTTTTCCTTCTAAACCACCTACCTCCAGATCATTCAGGAAACCCTGGAGGTCAAGGCCTCTCTTCTTTGCATCCCAATAGTGATAGGTCCGAATGTCTTTAAAGCCAGCAGCAGTAAATACAGCATTATGGTTCTCTGCAAGCAAAGGGATAAAATGTTAAGAGCTTTCACAGGCACTGGGAGGCATAACTAGAAAGGATAAAGTCAGCTTGCAGGGCCCTCAAGCTCAAGGTCCACTGGGCGTAACCGAGGCGTAGAGGTTAGGACAAATAATTATATCAAGAACAAGTTCAACCAGTTACATTAATGCCAAACTTACATCCTACTACAGTGGTACTTCCTGGGTCTATGTTTTATGCTTCCTCTGGGGAGTCAACATGGACTAAAATATGAGTTTATCAAGGATCTTGGGAAAAAAGTGTTCTCATTTGACTTTTTCTCATACATGGCCATAACCCACTGCTCAGGGTACTCCCAGAGTCAGCTCTTGGGGACCTTGATTACATTTGCTGTATGACCAACAAGCCTCATGAAGATATCCTCTCTGGCTTTCTGCTTCCTCTCTCCACAGCTAAAAGACTCACCCCAGGTCGGAGAGGATACATAGATGGGAGTGTTCGTGTTGTTCGTTCCATTGTACCATCGCGCTAAGAACTCGGCTCCAATTCGAAGTGCACCCGTTCCCCCCAAACACTGTACACCTCCTACCTGAAAGAGAATACAGGGTCACAGGTTCATAACGGTGAGATCAGATAATACTGGCAAAAATAACAAGTGTTTACTTTGTACTCGCTCTGTACATTTGTATTATTTCATCAAAGCCCCTCAACAACTTCATGACAAAGGTCCTAATATGTTTACAAATGAGGAAACTGAGTCTGAGAGAGATAGAACACTGTGTTCAAAGTCACCAGCCACTGAGCAGGAGGGCCAGGTCTTCAATCCTACAGCTTTGACTCCAGGGGGAGCTGCCCATCTGAACACAGTGGTAGAAGATGGACCTAGGTCATGTCCATGTGTGCCATGACAGGCAAACCCATCTCTTCAGCACCTATCCCAAGATCAAGACTTCCCTCCAGAAGAAGCCTGGAAAACAGTGTTTATAGTTGGCCTTTGACATAGCCTGTGGTACTGCTTCTCATCTCCAGAACTCGGCTTACAAATATTTAGAAATATGATCTAACAAAACAAAGGTGATATGCAGATGCTGCTTTCCCTTCCCTAGCTTCTCACCTTAAAGTAACCTAATATGGGCAATAAATAAAAGTCCTGTGTTTGGACTGCGAACGTGACTCAAACAGCAGAGCACCTGCCTAACAAGCACAAGGTCCTGAGTACAATCTCCAGTACCACCCCTATAAAAGAAAAGTCCTGTTTTACCATTTACAAAATGGTTTCACATCACTTTCATTTGATCCTCACATACCCTGTAGGTTCTATATCCCAACTGACACATGAGGAAATTGAGCCAGAGAAGTAGTTTGCCAAAAGATACACAGCTGTTAAGTGGCAGGGCTAGGCATAAACCTAGGTCTTCCCACTCTGGATGTGGTCACCATGTCCTGCCTGTGTCATTTTGCCCATCTGTCTTGGGTTTTGCTTCTGCACGATTCAAAATTCTAACAAGGCTTCAGAATAACTCTTTGGCCACTCTTGGCAGGGTAGAGGGAGGGAGCCAGGATGTAGAAATAGTGGTCGAAGGAATTTTGACCTAATCTATAAATTGTTTTTTATTAAAAAAAATAAGAATATGTTCAAGTGTTATTTGTAAAATTTTACAATAATTTTTAAAACCTATTCAGATATCTGGGATTTGCTATAAAATAAACCAGGTTTGTCAGTGGTTCAATCTCACATAAGACTGATGTATACAGATGTTGCTGAAGCTAGGTGATGGACACATTTATTATATTATTTTCTTTTTTTTAATGTAGATTTGAAATTTTCCATAACAAAAAGGTAAAAAAATCTTCCTAGATAGAGAAAAAAAGCTTCATAAATTGTTGTTAAAAATCTAACCTAATATTGATGCCAAAACATGCCAAAGGAAAAAGAGTAGAAAAAAGGGAGAGACCAAACTTCTAATTTTTAACCCTACCCTTGGTCCCACTCCAGAAAGCAAATTCATTGGAGTCAGGAAATCAGCAAACGAGATGGGAAATGTGTCTGAAAAAGGTAAACTAACTTCCCTAACATGAACTACACCTTCGTAGGAATCCATAACATCTGTGTCACATATTATCAAAGTTTCAAGGAAGTGTCATTCCCTAAAAGTATATTAAATCTAGATGGCTTTGGTTACTCAAAATATCAGCAATTAACAGAAACAAGTTTTGGATGAATCAGTAATGTAGCAATTTGGTCATTCTGGCAACTGATTTTTAGCAAATTACCTAGGGTCCAAGAAAGTCCTATACTTAACATAAAGGAAAATCATCAATATCAAAGAAAACAAGTCCAGACTTCTCAAGTAAACAGGGTTATCTAAAACAAGGGAGATCCAGTTAGAGTTGGTATGAAGCCAGACAAGGCAGCCTGAATAACTACTACATATGTCAGTATATAATTGCTGGACTCTAGAACCTGATTTCAGATCACAATTTGCTGATGTTATGACGTCACAGTGAGGAGCAAGAGAGCTGCCCAGGAGCTGCTTGGGGCCAGGGTCACACTGCCTTCACCTGGGTGCCATAGCAACTCTCACAAAATATACACATGGTACTACAAATGTGCTGAACTGTCTGAAGAAAGAACATGCGGAAAGGACCTGGGCCATAGCAAAAGCCCAAGACTCCTAGAGGCAATGGTCAAAGCAACAAACTGAGGCATCATTACGTGGCAAGGAGCTGTGGTCCATGAGCCCTACAACAGCTTAGTAATTTCAGAACCTGAAACATTACTACATGAGAGATGAAAAATGAATATTTTGTTTGGATCCTAATGTCTGAACATGGAAACATAATAAGCAGTGAGTAGCCAAGAAAATAAGTCATCTTGAAATGAGTGCGGGACCTGGTAGTGTTAAACCTTGAGAAAAATAATCAAAGACACAATTATTGTTTGCTTTCTGGTTCATTCATTCTTTCATTTGTGCCTCATCTTCAAATTCTGGTTGAATAAGCGTTTCTATTTCTACCCTGACCATTTTAGTTAAAACTGACTCCACCCTCCCTCCCACCCACTGCCCTCCTAACATACCTCCTCCTGCTTTACTTTTTATATATTATAGCATCTTTAATATGCTATATAATTTTTACTTAAAAAATGAATTTTAGTCATTTAGTCTGTCTCCACAAAACGGAGAGCAGGGCCAGGGGCTTCTGTGTGTTTGGTCACTGCTGGGCTCTAACATCCCACACCATGCCTGGCCCTCCTAACAAGCATTTGCTGAGTAAATGAATGATGAACACCCAGGAATCCCAGAGGTCCCAAGATTGGAGCTAAATGCTGAACATCTGCAAGGTAAAAAAGCAAGCCATGATTCCTACCTGGGAAGTCATGGACTTCTAGGAGAGAAAGTCTTATAAAATTAGACCTTATAATAAACACAGCAAGTACTGCGAACAGCTTGTCCATGACAACTCAGAGGACTTCAACTGACCCTGCCTGAGAGCTAAGGATTCAGCATACAAGTGACCCTTGACCAGGTCTGGAAGGACTTGGAGGCAGGGACTGGAGAGATGGAGAAGTGAGGGAGGGCATTCCAAGCAGAGGGTAGAGCCCAGCAAAGGCTCTGAGTCATGACAGAGTCCAGTGGGTTTGGAAAACAGCAAGGCTCTTAGAATGGCAAGACACCTAGGGGATGAGGAGGAGTAAGCAAATGGATGCAAAGCACAAAGGCTGGTCTTACTCTGTAGGCAGTGAGAGAGCTACTACGGGGGGGGATAGATCAGGAAGGGGGCACATGTGACACCATTAATTTTTTTTTTCCTAAGAAAGATTTTTCTAGATACAGTATGCAGAATGTAGTGAGGAGGAGGCTAGACCTGAGAAGGTCAAAGAAGCTATAATAAGAATCTCCAAGAGATAGTAGCCTGAGGCTACTCGCTGAGGACTTCCAGGGAAAAAGGAAAAGCTCAGAGCTCAGGAGCAGCTGGTGCCTAGGGGAAAGCAGATGCCAACAGAGTATCCTAAACCAGCCCCAAATAAGTATCTCCAAATATTTGCTGCTATAAAGACTGGCATTTAAATTTGTTCCGCAACCAAAAACACATCACAGAATGAACTAGACTAAGAAGGATAGCTACATTCCCAGGTCAAGGCCACAAGCAACAGGCCAAGTCTTATTGTTCAGAGGTCAAAACAGGGGTCAATAGGCAGAGGAGCATCTGCCAGCATAGCAACCATGTCAGAAATGCAGTGTTAGAGGAAGCATCTCTCCAGCACGAATCTCTGTTTCCATGTGTCAACAACAGAATTCCAACTAATTTATTTACAGGGTCTATGAAGAGAGGCACCCAGTGCCAAAGTTCCCCACTTTCAAACTTCATTAGAATTCTTTCCTCTCTCTCCTGTCCTCTCCTTTCCCTCTCTTCTCTCTCTCTCTCTTTGGATTTTCGTAACTTTCCCATGTGACCCCCTACTCCATACTCTTAACATTTCTACCCCATGCCTTCAGTTGCTTGAGGTAAGTCACTGTCTCACATAGCACTCCTGTTCAAATACTAAGTTAAATTACTTGCCTAATCATTGACCTGAGTACAAAGACCTACAGAGAGCCTCCCTGCTTCTGGACACAGGTACCAATATACACATGTACAACCTTTACCTTACCCTGCCCATTCTGCTTATCAGGGCATCTGGGTAAGGTGACACAGAGGAAAGCCTGTTGTAAATAGCATGTGAGGAATTCCTCAGATGACTCCAAGACACAGTCCCTTCAATTCAGGCACTGCTGGCTGCACAAGGTGGCCTGGGGGATAATGAGGTAGTTGTTTTCAATTGCACAATACCTAACTGGACTATTGCTCTTCCCTTACCCACCCATCCAGTCAGGTTTATCTTGTTCAAATGACACTTTCATTGTGTAACTCCTCTCAAGGGCTCAAGCCCTCAGTTGGCTTCTCCTGCCCTGGCTGCCAAAATTAGCCTACCTCATCCGTCCAACAGGTCCCCAGCTCCACTCAGGCAGGTCTCTCTATAACCTAAACTTGCTTAGTGCCCACCTGTCCTGGATCTCCCCCCACTCCGCCACTCAAGAGGAACCCCCACTCTGTTATTCTGTAATTCATGGTTCTCAAACCTGGCTATACTCTGGAATCACTTGGGGAGCTTTTTAAAAATATGTCCATGGCAGGAGGGAAAAGGGAGGAGAAAGGGGAGTGAAAGGGAGGGGAGAGGGTGATGCCTCCAAGATTTAATTTAACTGGCTCAGCATGGACCCATGAGGTCCAGTTTACAAACTCACCAGATGGTAACAATATACAGCCAGAGTTGAGAGCCAGAGTCCTGGCTGTGTTCACACATTCTTCAAGGCTCAGTTCAAGCCCTGCCCGTGGCCCTCACGGGTCTCCCTCATCTCAGAATTCCTATCACTTCCTACTACACACAGCCTATTTTGCTGTGACTGCTTTCAAACATGTTCTTCTTCCATGTGTCCCTAGTTGCAACATAACTCATTAAATGAGAGATCCTGAGGTCAAGGTTAGAAGTATTACAGAACAGTAGAACTGGTAGGGACTTCAGAGAGCACCTACACAAGTGGCTCTTGAACTTTTGGAGGCCCCAGAAACCTTCTGAAAAGCTTGTAAAAACTATGGAAACTTCTCCCCAGAAATAAGTATCGATAAAATCCTGCATATTTTTCAAGAAATGCCCTTTAAATGATGACTTAGAAAGCACTCCTTATGGAACCATAAGCCACAAATTAGCCTTTTTCTGACATAAAGATACAGGGACCAGAAGGAGTAAGTAAATGACTTGCCTATAGTCAAAAGTTGGGGCAGAGAGGGGTCTAGACCCTTGGTCTCTTATGATTCTATTAAATTCCATCTGCTTGGGCTGGTGGAGTGACTCAAATGGTAGAGTGCCTGCCTTGTAAGTATGAGGCCCTGAGTTCAAACCCCAGTGCCACCAAAAAAAAAAAAAAAAAAAAAAAAATCCATCTGCTTGGCATCTCTACTGACTGCTTCAAACCCAATAGCAGAAATCTGATGATCTACCGGACAAAACTGAACAACTGAAGAAGCTGTGCCTTACATATGGCATGTTCTTTGCACTGCCAGGCTCCTGAACTCACACTACTAAAGCTTTCATTCACTGAGAATTTACTAGACAAACTCTTAATACTTTAAAACAAATTGACCTTACTTTCCTGGTTTCTTCCTGTTGCGATGTTTTTGTTTGTTTGTTTGAGATAAGGTCTCACTATGTACCCTACGGTGACCTCGAACTTGTGATCCTGCTGCCTCAGCCTGCCAATACTTTCATAGATTCTAAAAAGAAAACACACCCTTGCCCAAACTCACCCGCTTCTCCTTGAGAGCTGGACTGTCATCCCCAAGGGCAAGGTGAGACGCACAGGTCCGGAACTCTGCTAGGCCCAGGATGGGCAGATACTCATGGTTGAGGCTGTTATCATTAGCAATCTTCTGCTCCACCTTTCTCACAACCGGTAAAACCCAGGGCTGGCAATCATCGGTGCGATAGGCTGAGCACAGAAAAAAAGACAAAGACAGGAGAGTCTCAGGCTTCATCTAGGTCAGAGTGTGGAACTGGGAACAGGGAGAATTCTACCACCTTCTAGACAAAACAGAACAGTGACAGAAACTGAAGTGCATTCCCTTGCTGAATACCCACTTTGGGCCAAGTCTGGGCTAGGTGTTGGGAAAACAGGACAGACATGGCTTCTCTTCCTATGGAACTTACAGTTGTTAAATATGTGACCTCCAAAACTAGAATGCTGAAATAGAACTGGGATATCACAGAGCCTGATCAAGTGAGAGTGGAAGAGAAAGTACTCTGTAAATTAAAAACCGTCCTATGAATGCTAAGTCTCTCTAGTCATTGGCCCAGCAATCTTCTTCCATCTGCATGTCACCAAAGAGTTCCAAAAGGTCTAGGTGCTACACAAGAACTCTGTACCCTCAAACATACACATGGCGAGAAAGGAACAGAAGACCCACCTCCTCCTCTTGTCCTAACAAAGCAAAAACAGGACAGGGAGCAAATGCTTATGACTGTACCAGGAACTGGTTACACAATCGCCAAAGGACCCACTTCAAACACATCTTGTCCTTTCTCTGTATTTTGACATAGACCAGCGCTTACCATTTTGACAGTTCATCCATTTAATCTGCCTTACCCATTCATTGATCTAAATTATCATTTCATAGTATTTAATCTTGCTTTATAGTACATTTCTAAGCATTTCTTCCACACTAAATATATTTTTAGGCCACTTCAATTTAGCCTGTCACTGATTTTCCCCTATTCTACTACATGGTGATGCTGCAGCTTTAGAGGGCAGCTGCTTTGGCCTTGCACCCAAACCAATAATCTCTGAGTAGGGTTCCTGACAGGGGTCACCTGCCTCTTTGTGACAAAGTGTAGGTCTCCAACAATCCTACACCTATGCAGGTGACTCTGAGACTGAAATAAATTTTAGAATAATTTTATTGTACTGATTTCTTCCCAACGTGAATCCCTGACTTAAAAAGAAAATCACATTTTAGGGTGGTAGTTATTGTTTACCAAGCAACACATTAACTGTGGAAATTTAGAAAAGCCCAAGAAAGCAAATAATCAATGTTATAATTAATATGTAATCAGCACTCTGAGAAAAGGGACATGAAAATGTGGTTGTACAACCTTCCGAGCTTTATTTTCTATGGACATATTCTTTTATAAAATATAGATCATACTATACATAGGATTTTCAACATACCTTTTTTCTACTTACATATCTATTATGACTGCCAGCATTAACTATTCTGATAGGTGATATTTGCATGTCCCCATCCTATTATTTTCTTTTATCTAGTTCCCAAGTCCCTCCCTCCAAAAATAACAACTATTGATAATTTTTTTTATGTATCCTTCAGAATTTCCTTTGAACACACAAGCAAATACAGCTTCTTATATTTGGTAGTATATAACATACTATACTGTTTTGTTCCTTGCTTTTCCCACTTGAATATCTTTTGATATTTGTGCATAGAGTGTCTTTGTTCTTTTTCACAGCTGCTTAACTGATGAACCATATTTTGTTTTGCCAGTCTCTTATTGTACATCTGAGCTGTTAACAATCTTTGGCTATTAAACAATACTTCAGTGAACCACCTAGTACATACATCATCGCACATGTATGCAAATATATCTGTAAGATGCAGGTATAAACATGGAGCAGCTAGCTAAGAAGTATGTGCATGGTAGCTTGGATAGATATTTCCAAATTTCCCTCCACAGAGTTTATATCAATTTACATTCCTACCAGCACTGTAGAGAGAGAGTATCTGCTTTCCCAGTCTCAGCCACTCAGCCACCGAGTGAATTTTTGCTAGTGTGAAGGTGCAAATGGTATCTCAGGGTAGTTTTTAACTTACGTATCTCTTATTACGAATGCAGTGGGCATTTTTCATATATATGAACCAGTCATTTTAATATTGGAATATTACTTTCTATGCATAAGCTATTAATGCTGTTTTCAATTACTTGCTATTATAAACACTGTGACAAATGCTCTTGTATCTCTTTGCATATTCATTACTGTTTTCATAGGGAATAGTTCTAACTGGAAAATTACTAGGTCAAAAGTTATAGAACAAATAGAAGATCATTTTGAATTTTGTGTCTGTCTTCTATTAGCCATCTCTACTACCTCCAGGAATATGACATCTGCAAACCTGAGAAATTATCAGGCTAACAATAAAAACATAGGCAGAGCTCCAGAACGACAACTGTCACTAACCTACCAACTCATACTATCATAACCAGTCATATTTTACCTCCTGGCCACCAAACAAACTCCCTCTCAATGAGTTCAAAAAGGCCTGCTCTACCAAGTGGGATTTGATCTAGTTTCTTTAAACACACATGAAAATAACTACTTCTGAGTAAGAGCTGCCCCTGAAGCAGATCACCCTGTCTGATCACAATGCTGCCATTGTTCAAAGTATTCTTGGAATCCTTTGGAGTGTTTTGTTTGGTGGTATTGAGGTTTGAACTCAGTTTCACACTTGCCAGGCCAAGTGTTCTACCAGTTGAGTCCCCAGCCATGGGGAATTGTTACAGGCAGCATCTCTCTATTGTGACTATCCTCAAAAGTGCCAAATCTTCAGCCTTTGAAAGTCAATTTAATTTTTGGAAATGGTACTTATACCATCTCCAGCAAATAGGGTTGGTAAATAAATTGAATGATATTCCTGGAGGACAATCACAAAGACACATCTCTTGTGTGGGTTCCCTGCTTTGAAAGCCATTCCAAAAGATTTCTAGAAATCTTTAGCAATAACTGCATGTCTGGAATACAGTAGAAAGTACACTACTTAAATGTGTAATTGCTTGAGTGTTCCTAGAAAAAACCAGTCCTACTACACTTCAGGTCTGTGTTTAGATATTATATACATTATATAATACAATTAGGCTATATGTTTATATAATGATACTGCTACACATAAATATTTTAAATAAAAAGATATGAAGGAAAAAGAGATCACTGTTCTTTTGTTTGTTTTTTGTTTTGTTTATTATATGATTTATTTTTATTAAGTAGATTTTCATTTTTTTTTATTTTTTTTATTGTTTTATTATTCATATGTGCATACAATGCTTGGGTCATTTCTCCCCCCTGCCCCCACACCCTCCCTTACCACCCACTCTCCCCCTCCCCCCCATCCCCTCAATACCCAGCAGAAACTATTTCGCCCTTATCTCTAATTTTGTTGAAGAGAGAGTATAAGCAGTAATAGGAAGGAACAAGCGCTTTTGCTAGTTGAGATAAGGATAGCTATACAGGGAGTTGACTCACATTAATTTCCTGAGTGTGTGTGTGTTACCTTCTAGGTTAATTCTTTTTGATCTAACCTTTTCTCTAGTTCCTGGTCCCCTTTTCCTATTGGCCTCAGTTGCTTTTAAGGTATCTGCTTTAGTTTCTCTGCGTTAAGGGCAACAAATGCTAGCTAATTTTTTAGGTGTCTTACCTATCCTCACCCCTCCCTTGTGTGCTCTCGCTTTTATCATGTGCTCAAAGTCCAATCCCCTTGTTGTGTTTGCCCTTGATCTATGTCCACATATGAGGGAGAACATATGATTTTTGGTCTTTTGGGCCAGGCTAACCTTACTCAGAATGATGTTCTCCAATTCCATCCATTTACCAGCAAATGATAACATTTCATTCTTCTTCATGGCTGCATAAAATTCCATTGTGTATAGATACCACATTTTCTTGACCCATTCGTCAGTAGTGGGGCATCTTGGCTGTTTCCATAACTTGGCTATTGTGAATAGTGCTGCAATAAACATGGGTGTGCAGGTGCCTCTGGAGATCACTGTTCTTAACCATAATTATATACTCTGTGAAACTCTAAACAAATCCTATACATATACATGGGGGTAGGGATGAGGGGAGAGGCATTGATTGTGTCTACACTGTGACAAAAGACAAGTTAGCCAACTCAGATGTCCCCTTCCTTCTTCACCTTGGTCTTTTTCTTTTTTTGGAAGTATTGGGGTTTGAACTCAGGGCTTCACACTTGCTAGGCAGGTGCTATACTGCTTGAGCCATTTTGTCAGCCCTCCTTTCTTCTTCACTACCCAGGTTCTCTCAGGTCTAGTTCTGGACATAGTCCCCAATGCCTGGCTGAACGGCCCTGCTGAGAAACAACTGCATTACTCTTGGGTGTTTGGGGCCAGAAGTCAAACATTATAAACAGCCACTACTTCTTTCTGTTGGACCTAGGAGTCACTCTTTTTTCTCATTCATTCATTAAACAAGGACTTATTAAATCTACCATGAGCCCCTCAATTGGGAGAAGCTACAGAGGTGAATACGATAAAATAACATATCCATGTCTACTTTCCAGGAAACACAGTGTATCAAGCCTTTAATTCTCCTTTACAGAGAATAAAGTATGAAAGATGAATAAGGGTTGAAAGGTAGTGTGTCAGGTTTTATGTCAGTAAGAGAAACAATTTAAAAGAAGGGCTTATTTTGGCTCACAGTTTCAGAGGTTTCGGTCCATGGTCAGGCAGCTCCATTTTAGTTCATGAGGCAGAGTATCATGAGGGCCAGAGCATGGTAGACCAGAATTGCTCACCTCATGGCAGCCAGGAAGCAGAGCAAGAAGGAGCAGGGGATGTCTTTCCAGGGCATGCCCCCAGGGACCTACTTCCTCTAACTAGGCCCCTCCTACTTGCCATCACCTCCAAATAATGTCAGCCTATGAATCCATCAATGGATTGATCCACTGATTAGGTATGAACCTCAGGATGCAATTATGTCCCAAAGGCTCATCAACTGGCAACCAAGCCAACACATGAGCCTTCGGGGGACATCTCAAATTCAAACTAAACCAGGTAGACACGGGAAGAGCACCATTCCAGACAAGAACACCTGTGTAAAGTCCCTGAGGCTGGGAAAGTGCACGGGTTTTGAAGCTGTGCATTCATGGCTTGGAAGTAGGATCCAGAGGGAATAGCAGGGAGCGGCTCAGGATTGGAGTCTCTTCGAAGGATCTTCCATTTTAATAGGGAACCACTAAAAGCACTGAAGCAAGACAGTGACATGGACAGTTGTACATTTTAACAGAATCATTTGTGTGACATCACAGTAAACAAACTGGAGAGGACAGAGGGAGGTAGCTAAACCAAAAGGCTACTGCAACAATCCAGAAGGGAAAAAATGAAGTATGGGATTAAGGCAGTAGCAGTGGGGTTAAATACAAGAAGAGATAGTCAAATGAGTTTATTTAAAGACAGTAAGAAACCACATTGAAAACAACAACTATTCAAGCAAGATTCTAGGTTAGAGGCTGAATGTACATGAAAAAAACTGGACTGGAATCTGAAGAAATTTCTGCAGCATCAGGTTGGACCTGTGGTTTCCCTGCCCTTAATTTCAATCTGAAGCTTTGAGAAGCACTAAAACAATCGGCTTGGAAAGTATTGTGCTTAATAGTGGAAAATGTGGTTGTCTACTCTGTTTAACTTCAAGGAAAGTAATGAGATCAACACAGTAAGAAGAAAATGGGGGAAATCTGCAAGGGTGAACAAGCTAAAGACATTATAGGTGCAGTTTATTGTAAAAATGCCCAATGTCAAGAGAACCTGACTGAGCTCCATTAGATTTAAACTTAACTTGGAGGTGAGAAGGGGAAAAGCATCCTTCCCTAAGTCAGTAATTAATTACATTTCCTTCACAAAGATCTACTTTGTAAGTCTGAGACATTCAAAAGCCAGAAAAAGCCTTTTACTCTACTCTACACTAATTATACCCTTATCTAAGCACCTGTCATCCACAAAAAGATGGGCACAGTGATGATTCAAAAACATTTACACAACTGGATGTGGTGGTGCATGCCTAGAATCCCAACTACTCAAGAGGCAGAGGCAAGAAGATTCAGGCCACCCCAGGCAAAGTTGAGACCCTATCTCAAAAACAAACACAAAACACAAAAGGGCTGGGGGCATGACTCAACTGGTAGAGCACTCACCTAGCATGCCCTGGGTTCAATCTCCAGTACAAAAATAACCACAGCAAAAAACATTTCTACACGACACTTTTCATTCACATATCAGATTTCACACATAATTTTTCATTTAATCCTCAGTCAACTGATGGATGGTTCCATAATATTATCATCATACTTTACAGAAGCATCAAACATTCTAGTAAATCTTGGATTTCTGACAGAACCAAATCTTAAGAGAGGGGTCATTCAGTTCTGGCTCCTCATTTTACAGACTGGTTCTCAAGGATGCCAAAAAACCCTCCCAAGGTTATATTACCAGACCACAGTTTGGGGCCTGTAGCCACTGTCTCTTCCCACTACAGTACACTAGCTGATCCCAGATCATCTGAAAGTACCCCTAAACAGAGGTGTAAGCAGACACCCTGAAACCTGAGAGACCTGGCTGTGGAATCCCAGCTTTCCTACCTAGTGGCCTATGTGATCTGGAGCAAACTGCATCTTCTCTCTAGAGTTCAGCTTCTTTAGCTCCAAATTGTGTAACTGTAATAAACAGCATTCCAGGGTTGCTGTTAGCATTAATGAGATTACATACATAACTCACGTATCTCAGGTTCCTGGAAAACACGACAAAGACACATCACAGCAGAGATGGCCTTCTAAGCTAGAGACTATATGATTCTAGACCAGTCACTTCTGGCCTGGCCCAGCAGAAAGCTTTTTCTCTGCATAAGCAGTTTATTTCTGAATCAATGCCATAAATTATTTCACCTCTCAGTTCTTAAGCTGACATTTTTTTTATTCAACATTTTTGAGACCTACTCAAAGAAATGCGAAAACAACAGAATTAGGTAATACTTCTATAACTCCTACTGAGATGCCAGTCATGGTTCTAAGCAGTATAAATGTATTTAATCCTTCTAAAACCCTATAAGATGGTTCAAAGGTCATTGAGTCAATAAAAAGAGATTTTTAAAAGGTATATTTAGATTGACACTAATATTAGTTTTTCAGTATATATCTGGCCATAATTGAAAGTTCTAGATTGGATTTTCTTTTTTCTTTTTTTCAGTTCTGGGACTTGAATTCAGGGCCCACACCTCGAGCTACTCCACTAGCCCTATTTTTGTGAAGGGCTTTTTCAAGTTAGGGTCTTGCGAACTATTTGCCGGGGCTGGCTTTGAACCGAGATCCTCCTGATCTCTGCCTCCTGAGTAGCTAGGATTACAGGCGTGAGCCACTAACACGTGCCTCCAGATTGGATTTGAATCAAGAGCTTAAGTGGTGCTCAATCCAACTTAATTCAAGACAGTCTTTCAGTCTTCCACTCTGCTACCTGCTAACAACAATACATTCCCTCCACGGGCAAAACAATGTAGCATTGACTTATTTTTTTTCATGCTTTATTATGAAAAAATTTCAAACCTGTACAAAAGTTAAGAGAATAATATCATTGGTGCCCACATTCCATCACCTAGCTTCACCAAACCATCACTTTTTAATGATTCTTACCCCTCTCCCATACGCTTTGGTAGTTTGAGTTTTGTTTTTGTCACAAATGTCCTCTATAGGAATGCTGATTCTAAATCCCCTTCATGTCACCCTGTGCTACAAGATAATTCCGTTTCTTCTTTCCAAGATTTCTAGTTCTTTTATTTTAAGCCTGTTCCCTAGCATATGACAGCATCTTACTCATTTTCATCTCCCTGGCTGGCCTTTGTGTGTGGCAAAACTCCAGTCAAAAAAATTTGAAGCCTCAAACACCCAAATGACCTGATAGGTTGGAGCTAAAAGGGATTTCAGAGACTTTTCAATACAAATCCAGGCCTGGGCTCTTAGCTGTCAAGGCCCAAGAAATACAATCAAGAAGAGAAGACAAAGATGTGTGGAGAGTGAGCTCCATTCCACCCCATCTACCCGCTCCTGCCACATCTGTGAGGGCCAGAAACATCTTCCCAGATCCCTGCAGGCAGCATTAACCCATCTCAGAAGCACTTCAGATCTCTACCTGCTGAATTTTAAATGCTTGCAAACAAAACCAAGCCTCAGTCTTCCCCATAAGGTTTTAAGATTCCTAATTGGAATTTACCAACCCAGACCAGAATTCTAGGGCTAACAGTTCTTTTCCCACTTCGCAGCTGCCAGAGCCCCCAAGCCCATCAGGCTTCCCATCTCCCTCCCGCCGCCCCATTGCTTAGGAGGATGAAGTGTAAAGAACACAGGATGGGGAATCACAGAGGCTGATTTTATGTCCTGGCTGCTATTCCTTTTCTCGTGATCTCGGGCGCATTTCCCCTTTTCAGGGACTCCATATCCCCATCTGTGAAATGGGCAGGTTAAACAGGGCCCTCGTGGCTCCTGTTTTTCTTCCAGGGTCCCCTCTCCAGGTAGCATCCAGCCAGGCCTCAGCCCCCCTTCAATCCCGCCAGCCAGGGTTGGGTCCCCTCCCACGCTGCCCACGTTCCAGGACACAGCATCCTTACCTCCCACCCCCAGGTTGACCTTGCGGGGGTCTGGATCCTCCCGGAAGTCGGCGGTGAGCTTAAAGACCAAGACGGGTTGGGCCTGGGGAACATCAGCGAAGAGTGACGGAGGTGCCATAGCGACAGACAGACCCAGATCTCTCAGCCCGCGCTTGAAGTAGTTCACTCGGATCTGTGCGCAGCAACTGGAGGAGACTCTCACCTTCACCTAGCGGGCGGGGGCAGGCCCGCGGCCTCCAATGGCCGAGACGCGTCCGGAGCTTGGCAACATGATTAACCAATCATGAGCTTCTGACAACGAACAGGACAGGCGGGAGTGAATGCCATTAGCCAATCCAAGAACAGAATCTTATCGGTGCTGGTAAGGATGCAACCAATGAGATTTACTCCGGCGGAGATGTGGGCGGAGGCTAGAATTGATTGGCAAAGCGTAGTCCAATCGCGAAGGCTTTTATTCCTTGGCTGCTGGGAGTAGATCAAGCGGCCGGAGTCTCCAGAGGGCAGCCTTCTTGACCTTCGGGCTTCAAGAGACATCGGGGCGGTGGCCAACGAGAATCCCGGAGGACTGGTCTTCATGTGTCCGCTGAGCAGGTGTTCTTGCTGTCAGCTCCGGCAGCGTGCCTGTCGCTGACCTGACCAGGCGGGCTGGCGGCCGAATACACCCGGCGTTTGTGCTCCACCTGGACTTGCAGTGGGAGGCCACGCGGGCGACCTTGACCATCTCCGCCGCGTGTTTACCGAAGAAGGAAAAGTGGGTGTGATGCCTGCCTTGGTCGCCGGCAGTGGAGATCCTATTAAAAGTAGACGATGACCATGACTTCCTTTCGGCCACTCTGCTAGTTCGAGAGTTTTGCTCCCCACTTTGTTATAGAGGAACCTCGTCCTCAGCGACCTTCAGAATCCAGCTTTCCTCTGCAGGTTTCCTCCCACGCACGCACCCAACGAGATCCTACTGTTATTAGTTGGCTGGTATCCAAACTGCCTCCTTTTTTGTCAAGCTCTTCCTTCCCCTGAGATTCCTTCTTCCCAGACCCCTTCTCCACCTGAAGACCCAGAGCAAATGACACTTTCCATAAAGCCTTCCCTGAACCCTTTCTAGTCAAAATCTCTTTCCTGTGCTTCTGTACCTTGTTGACCATATTGCAACTTTAGAAAATGGCCTTGTGTTTAGGAACCTTGCTCCGGAACCAGACTACCTAGGCTTAGGTTCTCGCTGTCACTTACGTAGGCAGGTCTGTTCCTGCACTATAAAGTGGAGATAATAGTGTTTTCCTCGGAGTTGAGGGGATTGTGTGAGTTAGCGCACATACAGGGTTTAGTTGCACACAGTAAGTGCTCCCTAAAAGTTAGCTAGGGTTAGCACTGCACCTCTGCCATACCCCTTGTATATGACATGCTGCTTTTGGTTGGGGATCTGATCCTTCTTATAAGTCTCCCTGGGTATCTTGCACTTACAAACTATTCCACAAATGCTGGAAAGAGTCAGTTCTCTTTAGTGTTACTTAAAAAAACATCATGGCTTCCTTTGGATAATATGACAAATCTTAAAATGAATTTTCCTTTAATAAACAAGCGAGCGAACTTTTGTATCATCTTCTTTTCAGAAACTTTGCCTCTGGTTTTAAAGGTAATGGCCCTCAGTTTTCATTTAACATTTTCCTCCAGGAATTGCAAGTTCACATTGAAGGTCAAATAACTGAACTTTCAGTGCTTCCAGGAGCAAAGACACAGGGTAACTACTGAGAGGTATCCACAGCCCAGCCTTCCCAGTATTTGATTTCGAAGTATGATCTTCACAGTGTCAGCCAACAATGTCACAGTCATTCGCTACGTCACTCCCAGGAAGAAAAACAATGCTAAGTTACCTAAACACTATCGACTCGGCTAAGAGCAAATATTTATTGACGGACTAAGCAGCTATATAATCAAGCCAGTGCTCATAGGGAAAAAGAAATGTCATCTAGTTTTTCTTTGTGTTGCCATATTCTCTGTTCTGAATTTTAGAAAGGCAGTTACAGAGAGTAGGGAGGGAGGCCTAGCTATTACATGGAATTCATGTCTCCACCTATTTTCCTTAAGAATGTGAGGCTTTTAGGGGTCATTAAGCTCAATACCATCAGTATCATTGTCTTGAGTCCTATAGGCTGCCCCCCTAAGTAAAATACCAGTCTTGAAATAAACAGAATGCCTTCCAGGTCATGGCTAATTTTAACACTTTGACTTAGAATTGACTCAACACTGTCTCCTTGTTGAAATGATAAAGCAAGCAAAAGACTCTTAAGAGTGGAACACTGCAGACAAGTAGGCAGCCAGGCAAAGCAAGTGTCCAGGGAAAGGGCAGTCAGGGTCAGAAGAGAAGAGAAAAGGGCTGTATTCTCATGGTTCCTGACTTCCTTGTGACTGTTGAATTCTCCTCCCTGTTATCTCCCTTCTGACTATTTTTCTTCTCTTTTCTTCAGAAGAGCTGGAGAATAGGAACTGGAGACTCATACTGCACTATGATTGGAATGAATTCCTTTAGAATATACTGTCTTAGAAATCTGAAGCCTTCAGGGTCACACACTGCTGTCCCAGAGCATGAGGTAGGACAGCAGTGGGCACTGCCTGGCCTTCTTAAGCAAATCCACACCTGCTTATTTTACTCATTCTTGGCTCCTGAGTTCCCAGGAGGTCAAAACTTAGGAACAAGCACAGGGAGGAAGGAGTTCTCCCCCTTTGCACTCAAGCACAGAATGCTTTGGGATGGTTGTATTTGGATTTATGCTGTCACTGAGGGTAGGGCATTAATTAGAAGCTGAGTTGTGGGCTGAACACATGTTTCTTTAAAAGCCAAAGCTGTAAGAGAATATCTGATCAAGAGTCACTGTGTGGTTGGATGGGTGATAAGCATAGATTCCCCTATGTGGATGAGTGCTGTTCTCCCACTGTAATGAGGATTCCCTTGTGTTTACCAACTTCTCCCCCAAATTAATAACTTGCATCCTAGGTGAGCCTTGGTGGAATCCTACATCCTTGCTTGTATTCCCGTAATTCTCTCCCTCCCTTATGTATGTCTCTCTTTGGTACACACACACACACACACACACAACACACACACACACACACACACACACACAGAGATACTGACCCAAACAAGGGTGTCTTTCCTGTCTCATACAAGGGCATATCCAATGGGGTCTGGAGCCAACAGGGTCTGGGATTAGTTCTTGAACTGGGCACCTACATATGCAGATCCTATTTAAAGCTGCTGAGACCTTTGTATAACAAAGATGCCAACAGAGAGCTATGGATGGATTCATCTACTTGTTCACTATAATTAACCTCCACAGCACCACTGTTGTGCTACGTAGTTTTCATACTTGAGAAGCAGTATAACATAATGGTTAAAAGCATGGCTTCTGGAACTGGATTTCCTTCTGTATGTTTCCTCATCTGTAGTGTGAAATAATAATAGTTCCATCTCATGGGGTTGCTATAAAGATTAAATTATTTAATGTGGACCAGGTACCAAGGGCTCACACCTGTAATCCTAGCTATTCTGGAGGCAGAGATGAGGAGGATCATAGTTCAAGACCAGCCCAAGCAAATAGTTCATGAGACCTTATGGCAACACAAAAAAGGGCTAGTAGAGTGCTTCAAGTGGTAGAGCACCTGCCTAGCAAGTGTGAGGCCCTGAGTTCAAACCCCAGTACCACCAAAACACATTATTTAATGTGTTTAATGGTTTCATGTAAAACCTTGAATTATATCTGACAATGCTCAATGAGTGTTCACAGAGATCATCATCACAGATATTGTTTACACCCACTTGGCTATAAGATTTATTTAGGTTTTGTTCATGAAGTGATGAGCAGAATAGTAGAATAAATACATAGGCTTAGATCTGGAATGAAATTCTAGCTTTGCCTCTTACTAGTTTTGAAACTGAGTAAATTACTTAATATGTCTGAGTTTTAGTATTCTCGTCTGTAAATTGTTTTAAAAAATAGAGATAGGTATTTACATTTAACACAGTTGTAGAAGTTATTACTATTATTATTATTATCAAATATATTACACTTTAGTCCCTCGACTGCTGTAAGCTAATGGTTAGGCCAACTCTCTTTGAAGTCTGACAAATCTGGCCTCTTGCAAGTTTTAAAATGGAAAATAAAACAGAACACAATTTTTTCAAATATAAAGAGCCCTCCAAGAAGTCTCTGTAGAAATCTGTAAATTCACAAAAACAATTTAAAGGAAACATTACAACATATGTAATAACTAAAATGCAAATGTTAGTAATAGCCCTTTATATTTCTATATTACCTTTTCCTGAAGCATAGAAACTATCTTAGAAACACCTTTCCACTATTCTGCCAACATCTGGGAGCAAGTGTCATCTGCACCCAGGAAGTGTTGCCTTAGCCAAGAACAAATGACACTGAAAATGACAGAAGAATGGGAAGGCACAGACATTAAAGTCAGAAGAAATTTTTCACTCTCTTCTCTGTTTCCCTGTAAATGCATTGCACAGTGTCTGACCTCTAAGGCTGTGTCTTTAGCTTTATCTCCCCAAGTTGTGAGGTCCCTTTTTGGGGAAGGGAGGTCAAGTCCTAAAATCCTGCACCTCGGTACAACAGGAATATAAATGGATAATTAAAGAAGTAAATTCGATGTGTTTGCCAAGAACACAGTGTCTTTTAAGCAACTCCTGTAAAAATAGTTTAAGATAGTATAACAGATTCCCCTTAATCTAGTGCCCAAAGCTAGCAGTGATGTAGTTGTAACATCTCATCATCCATCAGTAGAGGGCAGCACTGCCCTTCTTTTGCAAAATGTTAGGCACAGGAGAAGAAAAATAGAAGCAAAGCTCCTGGACTTCACTCACTGTGTCAGTGTGTTTACTTTTACCATATATGTTCTTTTAAGAATTAAGAGCATTATTATTGTTTAGGTGATTTTGTGAAAATGACGTCACAGTTGTATTTCCTTGAAGTGGAAGACTATTTGGTGAAGAACACCAAAGATGTTAGTTGTCCTGCTTTAGGTACAGGTTCTGACTAGCAAAAATAAACAGTAGCTTGACCCTGGGTAATCGAATAGGGTTATTGAATGAACAGGACTAATGCTCCTGCACTTTCTGGATAGAAGTCAATCTAGGAAAGAACAGGATGTAGTTTTTTAAAGTGTGTGTGTCACTTGGTCTTAGCCCTGACGACCACTTCTAAATCTTACTCACAGCATTCATTCTTCTATATTAGTGTTCCTTGTTGTCATGCTTGGGTCAGAT